CTACTGTCGGATCGAGTAGCCTTGTACAGAGTGTCCGATGCTTTCTGGCCGGCCTTCCGGATCCGAGCCCGCTCCTTTCGACCGGGAAGGGAGACGACGCCGTTTACGGCCGAGGGCCTCGCTGGGCAGTCTGTGTGGCTGGCTTGGAAGGGGCCGCAGCAGTTGGCACATTGGGGCCTGGCCATGCAGGGTCCCGTTTCGTGTGAATCGGAAGGTCTTCCGCAGTTGCTGCAGATCGGTCGTCGTCCGCAGAACCGGTTGGAGTGGTAGCCCTGGCAGCCGGGGTCGTGTCGGATGAGCGTCCTTCGTTTCTTGACGGGCAGAGATCTGCCGCTTTGGTTGAAGAGCCTGAAGGGCGTGACCTCTGATGTGAATGATATGAGCCAAGATATTTCGTTCGTGACTGGGTTGGGCCCAAGGCGGGACGGTCGAGCAAGGACAGGCTTCTGTCCTGTCTGTGCGAAGACCTCATCTTCAACGAGTGTGGCTGGGTCCAGGACGTCCCCGCCAATGCTGTGTAGTTTTGTTGGGCATCGCGGCACAACGTAAGTGTACCACTTGATAGGCGTCTCGACCTGGTGGGCGCCGAGGCATTCCGCCAGCTTTGCCTTACTTGCAAGTAGTCTTTCCTGTATTTGCTTGTTTCGCGGCTTCAGAGAGTAACCTGTGCTGATATGGTAGACGTGGGGAAGGTCCGCTAGCCCCAGGCCAACGGCCTTACAGACGATCTGTCGTACGGCGAACGGTGCGATCTTCCGAGCGGCCGCTAAGCTTTCTTCCGGGACGCGGGCAAAGATGCGGAGGTCCTCCTTCGGCTGCGCCTGCGGCTGATCCTCGGCGGGGAGTGTGGCCTTCGGGCGGGCAGAGCTCTGGCAGCTCTGGCCGCTCCGGGTCGCCGCAGTGGTGTTGCCCGCCATCGGTGCGACGACAGCCGCCCAACTCCGGGCCGCTATTGGGCTTGTCTCGTGATTGATCAGTCTCTTGAGGGTTTGAATGACATAGGCAGTGGCTTCTTTCGCGATCTGCTTTCTAGAACCGTCAAAGCTGGCGACAACGCTGTCGACGGACCGTGCAATGGTCAGAAAGACGTCTTTCCGTGCCTCGTACTGTCTAGCTTCTTCTGCAAGGGCTGTCAAGACGGACCCTGTGGCAGATCCGCTCGGAGCAGATGCGGTAGAGGCTGCGGGCCCCTCGGCCGAGGTAGGGGCGTCGGTGGTGGCATCAAGCTGGCTTCCCGTTAGGCTGGGCCGGGTCGGCTGTGCCTCGGCGTCGCGGCGTCGCTTAGCTCTTGAGGTGGGGTTCGGCTCCGGAGGTGTCCCGGAGCCTGGTTCGGGGTCGGCTTGGTCGGCCGACATCAGTCCGGTGCCCGACGGCGGCTGTGAGGCCATCGCGGATGCGGGCTCCGGCAAGGGGAGGTGAAGAGTTTTCGGCTGTTAGTAATTTGGTGGTAGGCTCACTCATTCACTAACAGCAGATGCCAAGAAAAATTAGGCGAGAGGGAAGTTGAGGCCTTGACCAGAGATCTGATGCAGTATGAATCTCATCGGATCCTCTGCCATCACCACAGCTTCTGAATTGACACCGGATACCGCAGTATTATACAGTGAAAGTAAATATTGCCATCTCCCAGTGAGCTGGGATCCTGGCGATGAAGCTGGTAGTCAGTACTGAGTTTGGATCTTTACTTGGGCTCTTGCTAGACAGGGAAAGTAGGCAGGGAAACAATCCTAGTTCGAGCTTCACTACCTCTACTAAAGGAGCATGCGATTATCACGTCAAATTTTGATCTCGATTACTGGCTTATCGTCTTCAGAGTAGTCGTGAAGTCAAGACACTTTCAAAATTACGACAGGGTGTCATGCAAGTTCGGGCCATCCGGAGATAAGCATCAGAGATCGGAGAGCTGCCCGGGGTAACGTAGGATTGAGCAGCGATCTTCGGTGACAACCATCATCTAAACGAATGTAGCTCTAGAATTTTTGCGGTTATAGAATAAGTCCTATTTGCATCCTATTAGTAGTCTGTCCGATTGGTGCGGGTCTTTGTCGTCGGAACCAAGTCAACCTTCTCCGCTTCGGCCTCACGTCGAGGCAACCTACATTAAGCCTCAACGGGCAGGCGATGCGATCATCAAATACTTACCTATGCAAGTCTCGTCTGATCTTGGCGTTGCAATGGGATGGTCGGGATGTGAAGATACGCCGGGACTACATCTCTCCTGCGATAGAGGATTTACGAGGCTGCGACCAAGTCATCGAACATCCGTATACAGGTGCTGCGCGTTGCATTATCGAACTTCCTACTTAGTCGAACGGAAACATGTCTCGCAGAAGGTTAAATAATCGTAGTACTCCAAAATGTAGGATAATCAAGGTAGTTGTTCCCGAAGATCTATCCAGTTCATTTAACTTCCTGCGCAATATGATGCTTCAAAGATTGCTGGCGACTCTCTTCGCTGCGATGGTGGCACCTGTCATCGCCGGTGTCTTGCCTCCAAGGCAAGCACCAGGTGCTGCACAAGGCGTGACAACTATCACCAGTCCCGGTGGCTCGACAATACGCTACAAACAGCCCGGAAAAGATGGCATTTGTGAGACCACTCCTGGAGTCAACTCTTACAGTGGATACATCGATATAGCCCCAAACGTGCATGTCTTTTTCTGGTTCTTTGAATCGCGTAGAGATCCTGCAAAAGATCCAGTGAGTTCTGAGTCTCATGCACAATATTTAAATGCCCGATGATGATGACTTTTCCCAAGGTGACACTCTGGCTTAATGGTGGCCCGGGTTCTGACTCCTTGATTGGTCTTTTTGAGGAAATTGGACCTTGCGAAGTGGTCGAGAACATGACCACCGTTCTTCGGGACTACGCTTGGAATGAGATTTCGAACATCTTATTCCTCTCACAGCCAGTCGGAACAGGTGGGCCCACGTAACCTCCGGGCAAGGTCCGCGATCTCACACGAACAGGTTTCTCCTACAGCGAGGAAGAAGTGGGATTTCTCGACCCCACATACGCTCTCGTAGACACGGAGCCTGGAGGCTCCGACGAGCGGGAAGGCCGTTGGTCCGTTATAGACCCAACCAAAGAAGACACCAGCCGTCTTGCTGCTATCACTTGCTGGGAAGTGGTTCAAGGGTTCTATGACGCTTTGCCACAGCTGAGCTCTTCCAACATCTCTTCAATTGATTTTCACCTTTGGGCAGGTAAGAATTCGTCGCTATGAAGAAAATAAGACTTTGACTAACACTGAGACAGAGTCATTCGGAGGGCATTGGGGTCCTGCCTTCTACACTCTGTTCAATGAGCGCAATTCTGAGCTTGAGCAGAGCACCCCAGTTGGACGTAAGCTCAACTTGAAGAGTCTTGGCATTGTGAACGGCATCGTGGATGAGCACGTGCAGACCAAATACTTGCTTGATTTCACTCGAGGCGAAAACAATGGTTACGGTGTCGATCTCATCAACGAAACGATATACAATTACGGCAAGTGGAACCGAGATCGCCCTGGGGGCTGCCAAGAGAAGCTTGACTACTGTGACTATCTTGAACGTGACTCGATCGTTCGGAGGTCGGCTTGTTCTGCTGCACAGTTCATCTGCCAATCTGATGTTGAAGGCATGTTCTACACCTTTAACCTGGAAGGACGAGGAACATACGATATTGTCAGTCATTTCGGCGCACTGTAGAGTATTCGGGCTGACCATTCTCAGCGATTTCCTTCTGGAAAGGATGTACCACCTGACAACTGGCGTGTAAGTCGGTTTATCCAGATATTCAAGACAATTTTGTAACAGAACTGACTTAAGTGAGCAGCCCTGGCTGAACACCGCTCAAGCACAAAACGCCCTTGGTGTTGATCTGAACTACACATCAAACAACTTGCTCTATACTGCCTATACCCTTTCAGGTGACTTTGCAGTCGGATATCTTTCGGATGTCGAAAAGCTTCTTGAACTTGATGTCCAGGTGTCGCTGGTTTATGGAGACGCTGACTACATCTGTAACTGGCTGGGCGGCGAGGCGCTCTCACTTACAGCCAACTGGTCTGGGGCTGAAAGCTTCCGTGACGCAGGCTATACCAGATTGATGGTGGATGGTGAAGCGTATGGCGAAACTAGGCAGTACGGAAAACTTAGCTTCACTCGGGTTTGGAATGCTGGGCATGAGATTCCTTGTGAGTATTCCTGTTGCACTGCTCTTACCCAAGTAGCCAGAGGTCTCAATTTGGGAAACACTAATTCCTAGCAGATTTTCAACCAGCTGCAGCCTTCCAGATCTTCAACAGAACAAGCAATCGTTTCGATATCGCCACAGGAGAAATCAGGATCAACCCTGATAGCACGTATCAGACGAACGGAACTGCTAAGACTACCAAAACGACCTCACTTCCGCCATTGCCGGCACAGACAGGGGCTTGACCGGCCAAGTCAGGTGTTCTCCCTTCGCACAAGATTTCAGAGGCATCAAGGCGATATAACACAAATTGATCCAATTTTTGAGCCTTTGTTGGGTTTGAATCATCTGAGACATTAGGCTGTAGGAATCAGAGTGTAAGGGGCATGAAAGTGGATGGAGCATCGATGCTGTTCAAAAGTAGTGCAGTAGGAGGTACAAGTAAACAGAGAATAACAAGCAGAATCGCATTGTCATTCAGGCATGTGTAGTGGAGTTGATTACCTTGACTTGATCGAAAGTTATCCCATCCATTTGTCTAACTAGACATACGCATCGTAAGCTCATTCAAGCCGAGTTAGTCCCTTAAAGGTTAAAAACAGGATCCAGGATTCGATCATAGATAGCTCGATTTCGCAATAAGGTCGGAGGCTTTATTCTGTTCAGGATACTTAGGTACTCGGTTGTCTCAATTCCACCTCCTGTCACAAGGGGGGCATTGCAGAAAAAGAATGATGTTGTAGCGAGTAATCCGCCCGATATTGAGCCTTGTTGTATCTGAGTAAGTAGATTCAGTGAAACAAAAAACAAACAGTTTCACCTAGGTACACAAGCCAGTCGAGGTAACAGTTCTTGTTATGCTCAGCGACGAACCTAATCCAGGCCCAATTTCTCAATGCGATCCCCCAATACCAGCAATCAAGCCTTCTTACTCTTCAGCACAGGAAATTGTGCTATGTGTAGCTTTGCAGTTCCGTATGGAACTAGGCGAGCCACAAAAGTCTCTTCATGCGAAGCTGTATCGACTGTACTGGGATCTGCCGCTGTTCCATTCCGAACCGGCCAGTCCACCCAAGCAGCTTCGACCTCAAGATGTACGGGCGAAGTTCCTGAAGCCCAAAGTGGATTTGGGGGAGCAGTGACTTGTCTTTCAGTTCCTTTCATCCATGGGTCTCTCTTGACGACCACCTTTACGCCCCTGCTCGGATCAATTCCAATGTTCCAACAAGAGTTTGGAAGGTAATCATGATCACGACAGGCTTTCATCCATGGCTCTTCCTCCAAATCGCTAAAGTTTGCAAATTCTGTACAATCGGAAGTTTGGTCTTTGTAGTTGCGTGGTAGTCTCGTGTGCGTTTTGTGGCCGATCTCGAAGGCGTACAGCAAGGCGCCGTGGTAGATGCTGACGGACTTGTCGTCGTGCTCCATGATCCTCACTTCCGCATCCAGCGTGACAAAAATGTCGAATCTGCCTGCAGTGGGAATCTCCAGACCGTGGAAGTTTTCTGAATCTCTACCTCTCGTAGTCGAGCCAAAACGTTGTGTTTCTGACCGAGACAGTGATCCGCTTTCGTAGAGCTCTACAGTCGAAGAGGTTGTTGACCAATGAGGTACTCGAATGAGGAACTCAAAGGCCTCGCTCGTCTGGATAGAGTAACGTATTGCGCAGGGAACAAAGGGGTAGTTGGATTCGCAATTGATGCTTATCCCGTCGATGTCCAGCCGGGATGGGATGAGATGGACATGAGCAACAGAAGGCATGCCATTTCTGGTCCGACTTCGGAGGAATGTGTTCATCAACATCTTAGGATATGCAGTAGGGTGATTGACAGTGCAACACGGCTTTCATTTTCAGTCAGTTCAAGACCCATGATTGAGTTGTGCGTCTGTCTAGGTAGAGCACTGACAAATTCTGGCTCCAGTCCAAAGACGTTGGCGTATCGGCAGACGTCATAAAATGGCGTCTTCTCCCCTTTGGTAGGTTCCAACTCGCAGGCCCATGGCTGGTTGACCTGAGTGATGTATTGGTGGCTCCACCAATCTGCACTGATTCCTGCTGGGATAGCGTTGAATGCTGCCAGTTCCACGCGGTCGGCCAAGTCATTGTCCCCGAAGAGTTGGTACAAATATGACAATGAGAACATGAGCTCGACAGAGCAGCAAAGCTCGGAGCCTCGTTGAGGAGATAGGCCGCCGATGTATTCATCGCTGCTAAGTGATCCAGCTGGAGTTCCATGATACTTGAAGGTCTTGGCAACAGCATCTCTGGACAAGTTCGCCAGCTCAGGAGACGGATGCATTCGATAAAGATGAGCTGGATAACGAAGTCCTACATACGATATCAATACCAGCGAACAGATAATACCCCAGGAACACTCACCTTGCGCAACATTGACACCATGTTTGAAATTCAGAGACTTGTCTCTGACAGACGGCTCTTGTGGAAAATCTTTTCCGAAGAAGATAGTCCAATCTCTCTCCATGATTCGAGATCCTTCCCACATCATCTCCATGACTTCCCAGATAATCTTGCGGTCTTCGGTATCTTCGCTCTGGCCGTAAAGCCACTGAAGCGTCAGCGCTAGCTCGTGGGCACGGGCAGCCCCAAAAAGTTGCAGGTCGAAGACATCGTCCTTCTGTGAAATGTACCCAGCATAGTTATCTGTAAGCATGACGTGCGCTAGCCTAACAAAACGTATAACCGCATCCATGATAGCCTGTCGTTTTGTTGAGTCCGCGCTGGCATGATTTATTAGGCCTTGAAGTAAGAGACAGCGGGCCCAGATACCGCGGGTATGGGCGGTTGTCTCTGGGCCAAGCCAGCCATCGGCAGCTTGATGAGACAATATGTAATCAAGGAAATAATCTGCCTGTTTCTTGAGTTCGACGAACGAATCCGGATCTGATACCTCGTCAAGCGTGTATGCCAAGGGAACAATGTAGTTGTACCAGTACGGGGCTGCTTCGTTCAAGGAGGTATACTCCCACGTGCCTCCAAGCCAAGTGCTTTCTTTGATGAATCGATAGAAGTAGAACAAGTTACCTCCAAGGCCCTTTGCGCTAAGTCGCAATTGATCTCCTAACCAGCCATTGGACTTTATGTTTCCCAAGGGATAAGTATCGAATTGAAGTGGTACCAGGCTGTGATCGGAACCGGGAACAGAAGCCATGTTGACAGCCTGTTGCTGACTGACTATCAGTACTCAGATTGTGCTACGTGAAGGAGCTGGAGGACTGATTATGATTTTGTAGTTTCCGGAGTGTAACTCTTCTTCTGAGCCCGCACCCTTGCATGAAATAATCCAACCAGGATGCTAATCGTGAACGATTACCTAGAAAAATATCGCTGTCTCCTTATTTAGGCTGTATATATGTCGGTTTGACTTTCCTCCGATGCCTGGAAAAGATTACCAATCGCTTGATATCGGCTGGATGCTAAGACGGTGAAGAGCTGGCAAAGGTAGTCTACTCCAGTGCGCGTCCCATTAATCCATACGACGGTAAGGATGTGTTTCTGAGTCCCAGTGCGCTTAATGCGTGACCGGGAGCGTCTCCGAATCCTACGGGCCAGTAAGCCGGGCCAATGAGGCAATGCGGCCTGATTGATAAGGAGATTCCGATCAAGCGAGTGATGATGAGAAAAGACACGATTTTGCTGATGGCTTGTTTATCTTTTGTTGGCACTCAATGTGTCCTCCACCACATAATATTCAATCAATACACACATTGCTGAGGTCACTTAGTTCACACAACACTGGGTTGCCCCCAGGCTTTACTACAGATTAACGAAGGCAAGGCAATATATCTACTGCTTCTTGTAAGATCATCAGACATCAATATACTAAACTAAATAACAGATAACATGAATCTCAGAAATCCTTCTAGGAAGTACATCGGCAAGGATTTGCTCCCTTGACGGGAGGCATCGATATATATAGCGCTCTGGACAAGGTACATGTGACGAAGCTTGATGTCGAGGACGATATCGATGCACCCAGTTGGAGATTTGTCGACTCTGAAATTGCTTCATCGCAAGGGAAATGGCGTGTTGTCAGAAAAATCAGAGCGTAAATTATCCACGCTAATCCCAGCTCCCAAGATGTGATCCAGTCCAAGACTAATACTTATATTTTCGGCCAATATAGCTATCGTGTAAGGAACAATCATGATCTCACCTAAGCGACGAGAGTGGACAGTGAGTAACGTTGGCCGAGGAATTCTCCTGATTCCTTCGAACAAATTATTGGATCGCATTGCAATCGCATCTTCACAGCAACAAGCGTGCACCGACAAAGCGCAGGGTTTCTCCGGTTATTGAATTTAGGCTAAATCAGAGAAGACTTACTTTCTTGGAATTCATCAGTTTATGTAGAAGGTACTCCGTAGTAAACCGAAGAATCGCTGCCAATGGGTATCTACATCGCTGTTTTCTACATATCGGTTGGTATGAATCCTCCTACCTGATCGCGCAGATGGCAATGCTGCCAATGTGCGGCCTTGTACAACATCAAGTGGGGGTATTGCATATCTCTTGTCATCTTTGAAGTCGGCCCCGCTACCTCTGTCGTCGCACCGACCTCAATGGCCCTCATCATCGGAAGAGCCGTCTCTGGAGTGGGAGCTGCCGGTTTAGTGAGCGGAACTACAATTATCCTGTCGTACTGCGTCCCGTTGAAAAAGCAGGCAAAACTATCACCGGTTATTTCGGGTCTGTATAATACCGGATCAGCGACAGGACCGCTGGTAGGTGGTTCCATCACGGACAACAAAGCGCTTTCTTGGCGCTTCATCTTTTGGCTCAACCTTCGTAAGTGTATCCTCCCGCAATCTTTTTGATCGCCATCAATTGACTGAACTCAACCTTTGGAGATATTGGCCTGGCTCTCATCTAGCTCAGCTTGAGGAACCCTTCACCTGCGGTCAAGGGCGACCTGCCGTGGAAGGACAAGATACGCCAACTCGACATGCTAGGCGCCACGCTACTCCTCGGTGCAACATCGTATTTGAACCTCGCTTTGCGGTGGGGCGGAATTGCGTATCTGTGGTCTCATCCCAAGGGATTTGGATGCCTGGTCGGGTTTGTTCTGCTGCTCATTTGATTCTTTGGCTTACAAGCCCGAGGCAAAGAAACGTGATGTTCACACTTAGTTACTACCTGGGCTGTGGAGCCTGATGCTTTCCTTTGGGACGCCTGCTGATTCAGTCTCAGTGCCGCTGTTCCCGTCCGTATCTTGCGAGGCCGGACTGTCATCGCATCATATTGTTTCATGATGCTAGTTAAAGTGGCTATAAAATTGCACTCGTACTACTGGCCCATTTACTTCCAGTCGATCAGGAACAACGGCACCAGAGGCTTAGGCATATTTCTACTGCCAATCATCATGTCTAATAATCTTGGTGCACTATGCGCGGGCTGGATTCCATCCAAGTCTGGCCACTACGTCCCCGTGATGTGGATCGGTGCTCCTATCTTGGTCGTCGGAGGCCGTCTCTACCAATTGATGTACTCTCAAAGCCCGCGCGGGCAATGGGTACCAACCCAAATCGTATCTGGGCTTGGGTACAGAATGTGCAGCCAGTTTCCTATTCTTGCGGTCCAGGTAGTTCTCGACAAGACGGACGTGCCGACGGGCCTCACAATGATCATGTTCTTTCAGATGCTCTGGGGTGCTCTAGCTCTCAGTATCGGACAGAATCTCTTCACCGATGCACTCCTGAGACTTCTCAACGCAATCGAGGGAATCAATGGTGCAGCTGTTGTAGCAGTCGGTGGAGGAGAATTTAGGAAGATTGTCCCCCCACAGCTTTTGGAAGCTGTCGACGACGCATTTAACTCTGATTTGAAAAAGGTCTTCTGGGTTGCCCTTGCTACCCCGGCCCTTGCTTGGCTGGTCAGCTGGGCGATGGAGTGGCGGCAGATACCTAACACCAAGAGTCGGACTACGGAAGCCCCCGAGGTAGTATCTCTGAGGAATCTGTAGCTTAGATCCAGGGAGAAAATTACGTTGTACTGAATCAACTCCAGCACAGTTGTTTTTCGAAGGACAAACTCATTACTTAGTCTGTGCCTTCAACAAAACAGAGGCCGCAGTGAATTCCCGGCGGGAATGCTCTTTCAGACTACAAGAATCTTCTGTCTTAACGAAAGTCCCATTCTCAACAGACCGAACTGACTGTCAATCAGGATATTATGAAAAGCCTAGTGTTGATTGGAGTTGATTTAATTGAAAGTTTCAAATCTTGATCAAAAGAAAGCGCATTGCAACGTGTGGACTTCTTCTGGAAGGATAGTAGGGAACCTTTGGCCCGGGTTCGGGCTCGGGCTCGGCGGGGTTGAGCGTGGCCTACCTCAGAAGTAGCCGAGGTAATGCATCTTTATAGGGACTTGGTGCAGAAAAGACAGAATGACGTGGACCAGGATTACTATTTCATACTTGTTAGCTTTCCGGAGCCAGATCCAATTGGTGAGACTTTGACTTTAAAGATGAGTATTCCTTCTATATGGCCGATGCCCAGAGGTCTTCTACCGCCGGACCATTCTCCATGACCACCTTACACAACACTCGTGGCCAACTATTGCCGAAATTGGCCAAACGACGGCCCGCGCATATCTGTTGATATTCATTTCGGACCTCGGGCATCATCTTCGGTGGTGCATTACTTTTCTAATGCTTTCTAGTAGGTGCTACAACTAGGAATGGAGCATCCTCGCTCTAGGCCTGACCTAACCCCAACAAGTTCCCAACAGAGTTACAGATTCGATGGCTTCCGATGCCGGAGACAAGACGATCGCCTCACAGGATAGTTCAAAAATCCACAAAAGGGCCTCTCATGCCTGTCTAGTCTGTCGGGCTCGTAAAGTGAGGTGCGATGTCACCGTCCGTGGTCCTCCGTGCATGAACTGTCGTCTCGACGGCGACGAATACGAAGTAATGTGGTCGAGAAGAACAAAACGACAGTGAGTTATACACCGCGATGGGAAATGATCCACCAGAAAGACCACTAATTACTTTGATATTCCAAGTTGGCGGGCAAAGGGCCTCGATCCTCCGAAAGGGGCCTTCGGTATTTCCAAACCGCGCCATTCCGGCAAAGTGCCTTCGCAGGGCCTTGGGGGCAGACTTGAAATTGAAAGCCCAATACTCGTCAAAGCCCAAAGAGCTACTGAGAAGTCACCAACGTCAGCAAAATCTCCTGCAATACCTACAATATTCGGAGACCCAGGGCTCCTGAACTCACCATCTGAAGTCCCGAGCAGTTGAACTCGGCCCAAGGAAATCATGATGATTGTCGTCCAGCTTCTACGATAGCCCAGGCGAAGCTCAGTACAATGACAACTCAATCCTTTGACGCCTACTGTGACCGGCGATCCGCAGATGAGGGCAACGTGACAAAGAAGACACCTGCCTCAGGCTCACAAGACAGCTATGTTGAGAGGCAGGACGCGATGAACGAGATGATTGGGTTGTCGGCGAACGTCTTTTGCTCGCCGTGGTATAACGGCTATGCGTACTATCAGTTTCTAGTTTTGGCTAATGTTTCATCTATGCCGCCACAGGATTATAGGTTTCTTGAACAGCAAGGATGTCTTCACGTCCCCTGCCCCGCAATTCTCAACGATTTCGTACGCCAATATTTCTTATACGTTCATCCCATTTTGCCAATAATCGACGAGGCGGCTTTTTGGGACATTTACTATCAGTCTAATCCACAGCAACGCGATAACAAGATCTCGCTACTCCTCTTCTAGGGTATGCTTTTCTCCTGCTGCAATGTAAGCCAGTCCCTGCTCTACGAAGCACCATCGCAAAGCCGCCTACTGACTCAGCTACCGTGAGAAAGTTTTTACCACAAGTGACACTCATCCAGCTTGGTCTGGGGACGATCAGAAGAGCGCGTGCCATATTCTACCGGCGTTCAAAGCTTCTGTTCGATCTGGATAGTGAGTTCTCGCCAATCACAAAGGCTCAAGCCGTGCTTCTCTTCGCATCATATTCTTTCTCTGCAAACAATGATATATCAAGTCAGTCAAACAGCAGACGAGTTGGAGATTTTCTTTTTGTGGACTTGCGAAGGATCACACAGTAGTACGATCTGAGAAGAGACCATCATTATCTGCGCTGACAAGACTTTCCTGAAATTTCAACTATAAGACACCTGGACAGATCCAAAGACTGAAAGCAAGCAAGTGGGTCACACGGTAGATTGCAGCCCGACACGAAGTACCTAGCTCTATTTTTTAATCTTCCCATCAACTATTTATTATTCTCATTATTACCATCGCTTTCTATTCTTAATATATCCTATATGGAATATACCCTAAGAAGTATAATGAAAGTAATGATAACAGTGATAGGAATAATGATGGTAATAGGAATAGTAGAAAGAATGATAGGGAGGGTATTGAACGGCATCCCATTTTGTCACCCACTTGGCAAGTTTGGTTCGGGCCCGAAGTACCCCTTGAGGCCAAGTGGACTTCAGTCTCTGCCAACTGAAAGATGGGCGCTAAATTCTAGAACCTGGACAAGTCATCGTTTTATGGGTACTCTTGTGGAGCTGCGGTCAAGAATTATATCTCATGTATCTCGTCTGGCACTACCGAAATGAGTACCTCCACGTACTTTGAGTAAGAAATTTGAAGCTACGTGACATTGTTACGCAGTAACACTTCATGTTGGATATTTCCTGCTTTTTCTTCCTCATCAACACAAGCTCTATCGAGTAGTTTCTTGCGTGCAGAGATAGCGAGTAAAGTAATCGACAGATTGAGATTACCTTACTACTAAGTATTTAGGCTACTCTGGAGACGTAGTCGCGGCGTGCTCTTTCACTCCCGTTACCCCGCGTTTACTCTGCAGGATGCGGCATTGGCGCCGTGTGGGGATTCTGCCGGCCTACCGGCGCTCCACCTTGAACCGGTCACCAACATATTCTCCATGTTGTCTCTTGTTCTTTAACCGCCCCTTCGCATACTATCGCGCGCTTCACGTAGCCCAGACTCTCTCTCTCTCTCTCTCTCTCTCTCTCTCTCTCTCTCTCTCTCTACGCCATATGCTCCAACCATGGCTTGCAAGGCATGCCGCGCAAAGAAGATCAAGTGCGACCGCGTCCGACCCGTTTGCCAAAACTGCAGACAACGTGCCAGCCTCTGTTCTTACGCTGGCGAGCGACGGGTGCGCCGATGGACAGAAGCCGACGCCGATAACAGATGCCCTTCCATCTCTCAGAATGATCAAAGCCCGAGCGTCACCGACATAGATCAGCATTCCGTGCAGAGACTGCCCGATGCCGACCCCGCTGCACACCAGAATCAACCAAAACCATGCTCCCAGCCTGCTGCCGGCTCATCGCACATTATGGCTGACGGGACCGCGCAGAATGACGCTGGATTAGATCGTCTTGGCTAGAATCCCGCCGTTCCGTCAGGCTGGCAAGCCATGGATGCGAATTCAATGGCTATTCTCTTCGCTGAGATGGCCCGCAACAGTGAGGTCATCCTCCAGACTCCCGCCGGTTCCACCTCAACTAAAGGTGAAAGTCTGCTTGACAAGATCCTAGACGGCGATGAGGACTTGAACAGCCTCAAAGAGGCCAGTCCGGCCCCGTGGGGCCGAAGCAACGACGGTGATGAGTATACCGGCCCCTCCTCCGGCATCTCCACCGTTTCCGACCTCGGTCTCAACTGGATACGAGAGAAAGTCCCCGACTCGGACCGTCTCTGCGAGACCATTCAAGATATACGGAATGGTATCTTGAGTCACATTCGCCAACCAAAGTGTATCACCCAAGACTTGCCACTCGCTCTATTGACGCCTCATCGGATTTTCGACCTTGCCCAGCCGCAGCTACTAGAGTATGTCGATGCCTATTTCACGCAGGTCCAGGTGGTCTTCCCCATCTTAGACCGAGATTCATTTCATTCTCAGCTGGCTGAAATGGGAGATGGTACCGGTTCTGTTCAAAAGCCGTCTTGGATGGCATTGTTGAACGTCGTCGTGGCCTCTGGACTTCGAGCTTTACTTTCTGACGAAACATCTGAGGCTTTTCGAACATCCGGATCTGAAGCGTGGGGATACTTCCGGTCAGCTCTGTCGTACGAGTCTCAAATTGTACACGGTGCCACCGAACTATGGTCTGTGCAAGCAGTAGCCTTGATGGCCGTTTTCGCGCAAGGGCTGTCAAGTCCCCAGAGGCTGGAATATACACTTTCCTCGGTGGCTTCACAGCTAGCACAAAGTATTAGACTCAACTGCACCCCACCCCCCGAGTGGAACCTTTCTGAGGTTGAGAAGAAGGAGCGGAATCGCGTCTTCTGGGCAGTCTATTGTCTGGACAAGTCAATCGCCTTACGCTGCGGCCGACCTGCAGTTCTCTGCGACGAAGAAATTAGCTGTCGCTTCCCGCAAGGAATCAACTTGGTCCATTCGAGTTCAGGAGATACCGACACCGAGATAGGCGAAAAAACGTTGGAGGTTGACTTCTTTCGATACTTTGCAAAGCTTGCGCGCATCGGCGGGGACATATCCCGGTCCTTGTATTCTGCGAGCGCTCTCTTTATGTCAATATCTCGGCTAGTTCCAACTTTGGATCGATTGCTTCAAGATTTGGAGGGATGGCTGGAGTCTATTCCAGCCAAAGTCCGTCCCGGTAGACCACTAAGCAAAGTCCTTGGGAGACAGGGACTCTCACGAGTACAGACCATTGTTCTGCATTCATCCTATTACTACGCGCTGTGCTCCATCTTTCGAGGAGGATCACCCATGTTCAATCAAGGTAACCGGAATATAGTACACCTTATTGATAGGAGGTCTCATATATCACACATATAGGCTGCAAGATCGATTGTCTTACTCACTAAGCACCTCGATATCGAGAGCTTCACTCCCGCATGATATGTCCCACCCTCCTCTTATCGCCTCTTTTCATATGTCAAACAGCACAGCGAGCCCTTCACAGCCTCTGTCACTTTGAAGTCGTTAAATACATACGCACAACTCGCTTGGCTGCTCTATTATATATGATTCGCGTGTTCTAATTTCTCACATACTGAAAGGCTCGTGTTCTACTATCCATTCACGGCCTTGACCACAGTCTTCATTCATGTACTATCCAACCCACACGATAGCCGCAACCAGAGCGACATAGCCCTCATGGAAACTGTCGTTGGATTCTTTGGTCGCCACGAATACGTCACAGCCGGCGAGGCTGCCTTTACAAAAACGACAGAACTCGTCAGACAGGCCCGAAGGGTTATCGACAGTTACAAAAATAAGAGCGATAGCCGAAGTCTCCAAAGCACAACGAGCTATGAAGATATCATGACGTCTATGGAGATGCCCCTGCAGGATGGTGCCTCTATGCAAGGCAGGCCAGCAGAGGTGGTGGAGATGTACGCGAGCAATTCAAACACTACTAGCCACGACGTCGACGAACCAGATACCGCAGGCGTTGGTTTGCTCCCCCAGGTCGAATCTTCGCGAATGCATACCGTTGGCGGAGAGGACCATACTTTGTCTGGCATCCCAACTGATCGGATCATAGGCGTTCCGCATAATAGCCATGCACTCTACTCCGGCATGGCTAATTTTGCAGTGCCCAATGTTGGAGACTCGATCCAAGTCCAGTGGTAGTATATCTCTGGAGACCATCATCAGCTCCATCCCCCAGTTTCTCACTCTACCTATCTTGGCGATTGAACACTGTTGTTTGTTTGCTGACAAGGAATCAATAACATCCATGGCATGAGATGATTGTTTTGTACGGGTAATGTGTGGATAATTACTTCATCGGGCATGAGTGCTGAGCCAATTTGCGGGACAGATTTTGAGATCCCCGTTAAGCATGAGAAGAGTGGGACCTTCACATTTGGTTCCATTCATCATAGAACCGAGATCTTGTACAATGAGCTCGAGATTTTCTTCTTCAAGGTTCCTGTAGATTATGTAGTAGCTGTCTAATAGCGAGATAATTACTCTATCAATTGCCCGTGTTCTTTCAATACACTATTATCATCCATTGCTACCATGACCGCAACCCATAATCAAACCATTACAAACAGCATGATCTTCACGGACACCCATTGAACGAGTGAACTATCTTCTGAATGATGGCAGAACCCGGCGTTCCAACCTCCTCGCGTCCAAAACCTGGGCCCGAACCCGAACCGGTGGTGCGTAGGGTAAATTTTGAACCCGACGGCCCAATAAGCTTACAGCCAAGGCCGAAGCCGAGGCCGGGAAGGTGTACTGAGGCTGTGTGCAGGGAACCCGAAGTTGAAACTCTTATGATATTCACTACCACGATTGATTCATCTGATAGTAGTGAAAAAAGAAAAACACGCGCCAAGCTGGAGCCAAGCTGGGGCGACACTACATGCTCGAAAAGTCCGGCAGCCCGCGCGGGCCAATCTCGCGCCGCTTCTTTAACACCTTCTCGTCCTTGCCGGAGCGCAAGGCCCCAATCATCTCCTCGGCATCAAAGTCTACACCAATAGGATTCTCAGTGAAGGCGCCGCCCATCATGAAAGCAGTTGCCTCCTCGATCGTGTCAAAGTTGTCGACCTGCGTCTCCAGCATGTTTCCGTCTGGATCCTTGTAATAGATGCTGGTAATAGGGCCGTGATTGACGCACCAGACGGGCTCGATGCCACGCACCTTTCGGTGCCGGTACGACAATAGCAGGGTTTCCAGAGTATCAAAAGTGAAGGCGATGTGCTCGAGGCCGCAGCTCGCCGGGTTCTTGGCCTCCGTGCCTGGAACTCCGATCAGGGCAATGCGGTGGTGCTCGTCGTCGTAGGTGATGAAAGATATCATCTCGTTGCCGTAGGTCACGGTGCCGCCGAGAAATGTAGTGTAGAACTCGACCATACGGGCGAGGCTGGCGGTTCGTAGGACAACGTGGGCAAGGCTTGATGGGCTTATAACCTTGCCGACTGGAGCGTCGTAGTCGGAGGCTTTGAGAGTTTGTGACATTCTTTTCTCCTATTTAAATGTCTTGAAGCTTGTCTCGGTGTTTTCGTTTTTGGTGGTTGAATAGAAGCGAGCTTCAAGGCTCGTGTTTATAGTTGTAAGTACTTGTTTATAGTTGTAAGTACTTGTTTCTTGTGAAGCATCGACCAACTGAACCTTTTTAGAGAAACAGTGTTATCCTTTGCTTCTCCTAAAGTGTGGTACCTACATCCTAGGCAATGACAATGACAACAATGGTAGTAGCTGGTCAGCCAAGACTTACCTATGTACGCATCTCCCCCAAGCCGTTTGATAAACTCCTCTAGGGCTCCAGCCCGAGCCCGACCCCGAGAAGGCGAAGAGGCGACAGAAAGCGAACGGACGAGCGCGTCTTTGCGTCTTCCTAGGATGTGGCGAATAGAGGAAACCAAGGTGCGTCATCTGACGCTTAAAGAAAGTCTCCCGTGCACCCTCAAATTTCAACTCGCGGAAAGATGTCGCAAAGTCAACACTCTTCCTCCAAGAGTGACTACTGATATCGATGAAACCATCTCCACACCACTCTGTAATCGTATTATTCTGACTAGATTCTGACACGCAATGAGCTACGTCACCAACGCTACCGCCTGGCTGTCTGATTCGATCAATTTCCAGACCAAAAACATGATCGCTGCCTTCTACGAGCTCGCAGACTCCAGTGAGGACACGGGTCACCGACTGTCCACCGAGGTATTTTCGAATGAGGCGACCTTTATCAGTCCTAGTGGGACTTTCCATGGGTCTATAGGTGAGATCGATCTTCCATCGTGGCGATCCAGATTCTTTGAAAGCTGCCTTCTTCAATGACAACCAGGGGCTTATGTGTGCTTGACAGAGATATCAAAATGCAGGGAGGGTGCATGGAGTGTCGTGAATTTGAGGCGGCACATCACCTCAAAGGCGTTCGCAGCACTCGTAGGCACAAATACGAATAGCAAGACTGAATTAGTCTTGCTTGGGTCCGTCCACATGGAGTTTATCAACAAGAAGACTCTCGACTCGCCGTTCGCAGCTCACATTGTCATTGGGTCCTCTACTCAAGCATTAACTGAGCCTCGTATCGACTTCATGGAAGTGTTTTCTGTAAGTCATAATCCTTTGTATCTTTGTGTTACTTGCCTCAACTAGAGCATTTCTGATACTATTCTGCGGCAGGATAAATCGCGGCTTGCGGAGGTCTTGAGCGCGAGGTAGCTGATTGATGAGAGAACTGGGTTGAATTGCTGTCATTCTTTGGAGCAAGGGATTTTCTTCATGGAAATGAGTCTGTTCTGAAGTATTCGGCAATAGTGTGTATAGTACCTAATGTGAGCAGACATTGTGTTCGCACGCCTCATCCCGTATTCCGTGGGTGCAGGCCATGCAAAACTAACATATCATCGGTTGTGTCCCGACCTCGCGTGGTCTTCCTTGACGCATTATTAAATACAATGAATTTATCTCTAGCCTCCGTCGATAAGAAAGTGAGGCTGTTTTGATGCGGTGGGCGTCTCCTCAGCACAGAAGATGCCTGGTTAGTCACATTTGCCTCCTAGATTGTGCTTGATCGTTTTTCCCCAAACCGACCTGTTAAAGCCCAACTATGCTCTTTCGGTACTAAACTTGTGCTAAATATCCTTTATGTAACGTGAATCCTGATTATTCCATCTCAAAAGGTGTCCTTTACTCCGTGCTCTTCTTCTAAATTGCCCGTGCATTAGACATTCGCTGCTTGCACTGCCGTACAAGCCACAACATATATAATTTAGGGGCATGTGTAAAGGAAACCACCCGGCCAACAGCACGATGCCGCCAAGTTCAAACAGCCACGGCGTTCTCAAGCGCTTGCGAAATCATAGCATATGAAAAACCTGGCAATTCTCATCAGCCTCGTTTCTACTACACTTTGATATTGACAGTAAAATGGTTTGTGAATATGTCGACCGAAGCCTCCACTTCACGGGGACGAGATGTCGGTCCAGCATACGACCGGGATGCTATCGTCGGAAGCATCAAGCGATGCTATGAACTCATTGCCAAGATGGTCTCGACCGGACCTGATCACATCACATACCCCCCGCAAGGAGGCTGGGGTGACAATATCATCCCCCTCGAGAAGCTGCGACGCCTTGGCTTCAACGACGTGACGATTAACCTGGTGCGGCATCTTCCGTATGTCACCAGTCACCGACCGATGTTCCCGTCCACCCAGACCATCAACTATTTTAAGAATGGTCTTAGTGGTTCCGACGAGAAATATCAACTCGAAGATCCCAATTCTGTTGGACTCTGGCCACTGCTAGAAGGAAGAATCCCACAAGACATACTCCCACTATCCAAACCGCTGAGAGGAGACAGACTAGGAATCTGGTGGTTACTCGATACCAACACAGGTAAGTCAAGTACAGGCTTTCGGTTGGGCTTGGAAGCCCCTTGTCTAACCTTTCGGCATGGCAGACGATCTCACTGCTCATGACACATATACTTCAAGACCTGTGGAGGAGATCCCAGAAGACGAGCAATGGCGCGCGGCGAGACCCGTGCACGCCGTTACGTATTTCGATGGCTAATGCGAAGACTCGATCTCGCTCGAGATGTTCCCCGTTCCTGGTGATTCCACCCGCAGCGAATGGCAGGTATGGCAACCGAAGTGGATGCGCGCTTATCAGAAATGGGTAGATGTGAGTGTACCCCGTGTAAGAGCATGCGAGAATGTGTGTACCCAAATACTAAGTAAACGGGTAGGAAGCCCAAGAAATCTATTGCGAGTGCCGTTGGCCAGGTTCAAAAGAGATTCCAGCGTGAGAAATGCCGCAAGCTCCCAGGTAAGATGCAAGACAGGCTCACGGTTGAGGAAAATGAGAAACTACAGAGGAGAATTGCGGTTTCTTCGGAGACGTGAAGATGGTTCTCGTCTGGCATATTACTACGGGCTGGGCCGACCTGAATTCGTCATATCAACTTTTATAACGATTTGGTGATAAACGCGGGACGGTGATTTGGGCATGGCTGGCACCGTAAAGTATACATTTCACCTTGCATTCAAGAATAGAACTTACTCATTTGCATGTCAGCCTGATATCTTCTGCTCATCATCAAGTTCGATTATAGGATAAATGATTAGTGGCTGGCGGTTGGTCTTAGACCCATGTCGTTAATGACTTAATGGAGGTCGTCAACAAAAAGGTATTCTACGAGAGGTCTGTCATTAAGCGCCTCACTATGTGTTCATGTACGTCTTCGGTATGTGATAGTTGCTCAAGAACAACAGACATTGTTCATCGTGTTCTCAACTCTCCTGCTCTTTGCTGACGCATGATAGCCATAACAACTTGATCTTTGGCCCACATCGGCAAAAAGCTGGATGCGGCTTGTTGTAGCGCGTGGCTCCAGTATCCAATAACTACTCCATGCCCACGACCGCTCCGTGCTAAGGCGGCTCTGGCCATAGTCTGAGAATCGGGTGTAAATAGCGATGGGGCCTCCTTCAAATGCGAAACATCTGTGACTCTGCCGATTCTGACGCCTAGCATTTCAACGCTGTTGGCCGCATCGTCAAGTTTGAACTCCAGACCCACGGCACGCGTCATATTCATGAGGAACTGCTTGCTAGCGCTGTATGCCGCCAGTAGAGGAAATCCTTGGTCTGCCATGGAGCTGATATTCATAACCATGGCCGGCGCATTTTGCTGGAGAGTTGGTAGGAGCACTCGTGTCAAGTGTAGTGGGAAAAGCGCATTCAGGCTGACGTTGCTGTTGATCCGGTCCATCGAGCATTCGATGAGGGGCGAGAAAACCGGATTGGTCGGGCCGCCTCCCGCATTGTTGACGACTACGGTGAGGTGCAACTCGCGAAGCTCTGCTTGAATCGACTCAAAATCCAAAGGAGCTTGCGAAGAATTACCGGTTTGAGATGGCCGCACAGCCCCACTGCAGTTGATACATGGCACAGCACTCGCGTCTGCCACCAGTATGCGGAATGAGCTTTCTGGGCATTTTGTTCGCAAATCAGACGCGACAGCAGAGAGCTTGGCGTGATTCCGCCCGTGAAGTACGACGTTGAACCCTTGCATCGCCAATTCGGATGCAAAGGCACGACCAATGCCGTCTGAAGCACCGGTCACCAGGGCCCAGGGCGCATCGCCGTTCGACGAATTGTGCGCATAACGACTAAGTCTCGAAGGAAGTGTGTAGATGGCAATCCAATTCGCTATTTTAACGACGGTAATACCGATCGTCAAAATACCGACAAAAGTTATGATGGTTTGCGTGTTCGCCATTTAACGTGCGGGGGAGTTCGTGGTAGGTGCTAATGTGGGATGTGACGTGCGGATGAAGGCATGTATTGAGGAAAGTTGTGCGGAGTTGGAGTTTGTCCAGCCAACTCCGCGCGAATCGGTGAAAGTGAGGAAGACAGTTACAAGCGATAGACCGGAGAAAAACATTTACCGCGGACCGCGCTCATACGCCACTTCCTTCGATCCTTCCATGGAACTAAGATGGTCACATTTCCAAAGATCTTTTGGAGGCATGATGAGTGCTGCCTGGATCGAACGTATTCCCCCTTGCATCCAGTAGAATGGAACATAATTGGTACTTTTGTCGCTCCAACGACTACTCTAGTCAAAAGGACAAACACGATGATTCATGTTGGCATTGAAGTGAGCTCCTGGTCTACGCTATCAACTAAGGTGCTCTTGCAATAAGGAATCTGCAACACCTCAGCGATACCAGACTGACTTCGAATGGACTCATCAGATGCAAAAACATGAAGTTAGGAACAATCCCGACTTTTTAAACGAAGAGGGTAGAGTCAGCTCCAGAACGGGTTTGCAAAGAGGCGTGTGGGTGTGGTCCCGGATGCGGCTAGCGCGCTGGCTGGGCTATCGGGCTCGGGCTCGGGATCTACAACTTGTCGGCGTGGGTGGGGCCGGGAGAAGGTAGCAGGGCTTCCTCGGGCGGGACATCCGGCCTCATCTCAGGCAACCCAGTCACCACTTGGATTCGAGCCCGAGGCTGTAAGCAGGGTCTCTATGCTTCAAGGAAGCTTTTTAGTGAGTGACCTGCGAATCGACGGCAATTCCATCGTGGAGATCCACTGTATTGCGCATGAGAAGCGTTCAGTGATGTGTAGCAGCCGTGGCTGTTTCACTACCTCGGACCCCGACGGAACCAGGGCACTCACTGTCATTTAGCATGGTGTTGGTCACTAAACACACCTGTTCAAACGGGTTGAACAGAAGGCTTGCCCCGGAGACTGCCCCGGGTCTCCATCATGACGGAAACAGGGCAGTCTTGCACTTGATGACGAACCAAGGTTTATATCTAGGCCCGTCTTTTGGTCCTCTTGCTCATGCATGTATCAAGCCCCACGGTACAAGCACTTGCAGTCCCCCAAAACATATTCTAGCATCTGCAAAACCAAAATTTCAACAAAGACACCCAATTACAGCACAGAATTCATGGCGTTGGACGAGCCGAAACCAAACCCTAGCTTGGAGGTGCTGCCCAAGGGAGTCGTCATTATTGCCGGCGGGGGACCGATCGGTCTGCTACTTGCGCGAGTGCTCTCCTTCTACGGCGTGAAGTTGAGGCTCTTTGAACGCAATAAGACCACCATCAAGTGGCCAAAAATGGATCTGACAAATGCTCGGTCAATGGAGATCTTCCGCAAGCTGGGCCTCGCCGATGACCTCCGAAAGCAAGGCGTGCCGGCGAATATGGACCAGAATGTTATCATCTCCACTGGGCTTCCTGCCGAAAAGCCGCTCACTCAATGGGATCTGCCAGGGGTAGATAGCTTCAGGTCCCAGATTCAGAAAACGAATGACGGTACACAGCCCCAAGAGCCTTGGCAGAGAGTCTCGCAAGCCATCTTCGAGAAGTGGCTAAAAAAGATTTGCGATGACGACCCTCTCATTGACCTCAACTACGGCTTCAAGTTGGAACACGTCGAAGAGAACTCTAGCTTCGCAAACACGACGGTTACTGATGTGGATACTGGGAAGAGAACAGTGTTCAGGTCTGACTACGTCGTGGGCTGCGACGGCGCCTCGAGTCGAACCCGTACCTCGTTATTCGTTCCTGTCGACGGAGGTCCAATGTAAGTTCCGGCCAACAGGGCACATCTTGAATATAATCTGACCAGCATTTGTAGACCATCTTGTGCCTTGATAGTTCATTTCAAGTCTCGTGATCTAACAAAATTACACAAACAAGGGAGGTTCTGGCACATCTTCTTCCTCGGCCAGTCAGGCGGCTTTGAGGGCGCCATTATTTCACAAGACGAGAAGGATACCTGGACGACCCATCTATTTCTGCCCCTAGATGCCGAGCCTGAAAAGATCGAATCTCATGATGCCGTCTACCGCGTCCTCGGTGGGCTCTACGGACCGTACAAATTCCAAATCGACGAAATCCTGGTCCATTCCATCTGGAGGCCAAATGTCGCCGTAACACGCAACTAGAGAAGTCAAGAGGGGCATGTGTTCCTCGCCGGCGACTCTGCACATCAGAACATTCCTACAGGGGGCTACGGGATGAACATGGGCATCGGAGACGCCTTCGATCTCGGATGGAAACTCGCTGCGGTGATCAAGGGTGAGGGTGGCGTAAGGCTCCTCGAGTCTTACGAACTGGAGCGCAAACCCGTGGCTCTCCGGAACGTGGAACGATCCCACGTTCATTTCAAAGTCCATAATGAGTTGCAGACCTTGCTCGGTGGCGGAAATCCGCGTCGCGTTGACTCCGATACAAAGGAGGCACGCCTCCTCAGACAGCATGTTCATGAGTTCTACCAAAGTCATGACGGGGAAAACAGGGACATTGGGATAGAGATGGGATACCGGTACAAATCACACGTCATTTTTCATCAACAAGACGACGGTAGCGAGCCTCTCTCGGATCCACGCTACTACACCCCGACGACGTGGCCTGGTGGTCGGCCCCCTCACTTGTTCCTCTCAGATGGCACCGCAATATTCGATAAGTTTGGAAAACACTGGTCGTTGCTTTTCTTCACTGATGTGGATGTGGGACAATATCATCTTTTCAAAGCCGCGAATGATATGAGCTTGAGTATGTCGCTTGTTCATCTCTCGGGAGAGACGCAAGCTAGAGGGTTGTATGAGAGAGACCTGGTCTTGATCCGCCCAGACCAACATGTTGCCTGGAGAGCCGAGGCGGTGGAATCACCAGCAATTGCAGATACGATCCTATGTAATATCTCTGGTCAAATTTTAAATGGTGTGAGGAACCTGGTTATCGAAGACGCAAAACACGGGATGACGATGGCTTCTGAGAAGTCGATGAAGACAGGGGGAGTTCCCAGCTGAACTAGGTGCGAGATAGATGCTCGAAAACACTCCTTTCTTCTCAAGCAGACCTGCGATTCATGGCGATCCATGCATAACCTTGCCTTTCGTATCTCTGAGCTGTCCTAAGGTAGGTACTTACGTTGTAGATACGAGAAGCAGACGTCCGCCTATATGTTTATTGTGATTGACCCAAGATATCACTCACCTCACGACCGCTTTCAGTTTCCAAATTAATACGAGCTCTTTGTCAACTTCTTCCTACCGTTCATCGAAGATCTCAATGTCATCAGATTCGCATCACTAGCCGGCAACATGATGTACATGATCGTGTCTCGCTCTCTGAATAATTACTAGTCGTGACTCTGAGAATCTAAATAATCCGATTCTCTTCTCCCTATGACTACATTTCACATGACGGGTGAACAGTTTTAGGTAGATAGTCAGGATCATTATGAAAATCCAAACTAACGCAAATCACAGCTACATGTTGTCTGAAAGTTCATCCGGCATCCAGGTACTGAACGCCATACCCTCCGGGACCTGCTTCCATTGCATGGTGACCGGGTCCAATGACTGCTTGCACTTGTCAGCGGCATCTCTGCATATAGCGACCTTCTCCGCAGATCAGGCTTGATTTGGGCGGGATATTCAGATGGCTGTACGGTAATACCACCGACGAGGTCTTCAATGTCGTATTTCACCGGATCGCCTTGGCCATCTACGGTCGGGGAGAAGTCGAAAGCCCACAAGAGCCTCGACATGCCCAGGAAGAGCGATCTTTCGGCGATGTGAATACCCTGACACAGGCGTCGTCCTGCGCCGAAGACGAAGTTGTCGCGTTTTTTCGTGTCCCCCATAGCGGACTGATAGAGCGTTGTGTGGTCATCCTTAAAGCGCTCGGGGTCGAATACGCGAGGGTTGGGCGACCGCTCTTCATCCATGTGGATGGCCCTATGTTGCGTTCAGGCATCAGAGGCCGTCATGTAGTTAGGGGTTCACTCACCACACATTATTCACAACAGTCGCACCTTTTGGGATGTTGTAGCCCATGTAAACGTCGTCCTTGACCGCGGCATGTGGCACGCCGAGAAAGACAGTGGGCATCCACCGCAGGCTCTCCTTGATGCAACAGCGGATGTACGGCAGGTTCGGATAGTCATCGATGGTGGGAAGACGATCGTTGCCGATCACCCGATCAATTTCTTCCTGAGCCTTTCTTTGCACATCTGGCCAAACGAGAACGGCCTGGATGAAACCATAGAGGGTTCCTGCCGTCGTGTCTGAGCCTGCTTCGAGCAGCGAGCCGCTGATATAAGCAGCAGCATCGTCGCTAAATCCTTCTTATGTCTGAGCACGATAGATGTCGTTGCAGAAGCAGGGCTGTGGGATCATTCGTCACAAAGTTCCTCGTTATTTCTCGATGTCGAGCTCAGGATTGTGGTACTCACCAATCCTGTTGCGTCATCGAGTGCTTTCTTCGACATCATCCAGTGCCTAAGATAGTTCTTGCTCTCAATCTCGTAAAGCTTCTTCGCGTATCTGACGTTGGGCGCAATAGCACTTGGTAAGCTTTGGATGAAAGGGTAAACATCTGCCAACTGAGCGCTAGAACTTCCGGACAGCTTGCCCCAATTCTCAAAGCTCTATGCCATGAGTAGTCAGTATTTGTAAACACATCTCACGTTAATCCCTGTTGCGGTGGGAAGAGTCGAGCTCATTACCTCAAACAGCTGCAGGAGCTTCGGGTCATGGTTGTCAGTACAGCGATAACCGTAAATCATCTGCGTAGAAAGAGAGTAGGTGAATCTTCTTATGTGTTGGAGAAAGTCGGAAGGAGTTTCCAAGAGATCGTCTAGGAGAATCATATTCTCGAGGTCCTGGTAAGGGACGTACGTGACAGCAGCCTTGATGTTCAAGATATTGTGTACCATGCGATGGATCATTCGCCAGTTGTCTCCGTATCTCTGGATCTTGTTAACAGCTGGCCAGTTCCCAAAAAGTAAAAGCTTCCACATATTTCCTCTTTTTACTTACCATCACAACGAGGCGGAGATCACCACTGGCTACCTTCTGACCGATAAACATGTCTGGCCGGTCAGAGTAGTTGCCACTCCTCTTGTCCAGTACTTCTTTGACCGTTGTGTCCGACGACAGAACGATCATGACTTTTGTTCCGAGTATCAACGAGTAGATCGGTCTACGGCGCCATTGAGTTAGTGACGAGACAAAAGCTTCACTCTTCTGCCTGCCTTGGTCTTCGACTAACCCCCCCCCCGCAAGTAAGTATGTGATCTTGTCAACGACTCCAACTACTATCAATTGTCCATTTGAGACCAGATTTTGCAATGTCGTTACCTGGAGGAGGGCTGGAGAGACCCAACAATTCCGTCTGTTCAAATAAGCATGAAACCCAGGCTAACCTCACCGTAGGTACAAGGGAAGACTTAGCTCGGTACATTAGAGTCATGCAATGTGGACGTGCTGCTTGATAAGGAGTGGCCGCTATGATGAATTTAGAGTTTAGCAGAGTATCGCAAAGCCCTCACTCATAGGCCAGTGAGATAAGAGATAGTCTTGCCCCTAGACGGAATGTGAATTCCTATCTCTCAGCGACTCTACCACTGACTACCAAAGTAATTGATAGGCCATTTACGGAAAGACCCTTGTCAATTTCTACAGACGCCTTTCTAAGGGCCTGGCCACAAGGCCGGATGAACGATTTCATATCAATTGCCCGACTTATTAAAACTTGCGACATGCGCCTTGCAACAGGACAATCCGAACGCAAGGCGGCAGTCAATCTTCATAGCCCTGTATCTTTTGCCCGATATGTTGTCACTCAGGAAAGTTCTCGTGTATAGCATCATTTTCTCATCCGGTGAGCTCCTCTTGGCCTCGCAGTTTTGTCATCTCTAACAAGCTACATCATCAACCATCATTGGCTATGATTCCGGATACTTGAATGGCGTGCTTGGTTCCGAAGACTTCATCAGAATCTACGGTGTCAAACATGGCGTCACCGGAGAGCTGTACTTGACTCCATATACCCGGAGCATGTTTTCTGCGCTGTTCGTTGTCGGAGCTCTTATAGGATGTCAATTAGTGGCACCGCTTACTAGTCTGAGTAAGTTTGTTGAGCTTTTCAAAGTCTGAGAGTCGCCGCAACATCGCTGATGCTTTGTAGTTGGCCGACGAGGCAACTTGCTCACAGCATCTATTACCTACGCTGTGGGTGTTGCCCTTCAGACCGCTGGACTTGCGTCCACTGTGTTCATCGTCGGCCGCGTCTTGCTCGGTATTGCCCTCGGTCTTATCTCCATCACGGTAAGAACCCAGTATTCAACCTCCTGTTTGGTTGGATGACAACTAACTTCCGTAATGCAGGTCCCCGCGTATCTCATGGAATGCTCTACGTCGACGAATCGAGGACAATTGATGGCATTCTACACCCAATTCCTCACCACAGGTAACGTCATAGCATGTGGTATCAGCCTGGGAACTTCCAAGTACACAGATTCCCGAAGTTGGCGTAAGTAAATTGGGAAAACGTCAAGGCTCCATGTGTGCAAAGGTTGATCCAGATATAGGCATCACAATTGCATTTCAGCTGGTGTTGGCACTGGTCGTTTTCGTCGGAGTCTTTTTCTGCCCAGAGTCGCCACTCCTTCTCGCCAAGAAGAACCAGAAATCCAAAGCGCGCCGGGCTCTCGCCATTCTCCGCAATGCAGACATCAACTCACTAGAGGTCGACGAAGCCATGGTCGAGATCGAGAATTACATCGCAGACCAGAGCGCAAACGGAAGTGCCAAGTTCATTGAGTGCGTCCGAGGAACCGACCTGAGAAGAACTCTCATTGGCGTAGCTATGTCATTCTTCACCATATCCACTGGCATCACCTTCTGGTTTGGCTATGGAACGACCTTCTTTGCGGCCGCGGGTGTGGACGACTCGTACCTGATATCTCTTGTTCTCGCCATCACCAACTGTGTCTTCACGGCACCTTCTATGTATCTTATTGAGCGTTTGGGAAGAAGCAAATCTTTGATCGCTGGTGGAGTTCTCATGGGACTCGCCCAGCTACTCACTGGCGTCATCCATAGTGCCGCTCCGGATAGCAAGGCCGACAAGATGATGCTTATTGTTGGGGCGGTGTTCTTCATCGCTTCGTATGCACCAACGTGGGGCATCGGGGGTAGGTTGTCTTTCTTGAGACACTGCAGAAGGAAACTCGACTGACAGATTGTGTAGGCTGGTTGCTGATGGCAGAGCCCCTGTCCGGCCGCGCGAGTAATTACCAATCTTCCATCGTTTTGGTGGCATATTGGATCATCACATGGCTCGTTGGATTTGTGACGCCGTACATGATTGACGAGACAGCCGGCGATCTCGGGGTCAAAGTCTCTTATATCTGGTTCGGTATGACTGTTCTGTCTCTCGTGTGGGCCTATACTTGTTTGCCGGAGCTCACTGGACTTTCGAGAATGGAGGTACGTTTTGATTCCCCGAGGATCAGAGTTATCGTCTCACGCACATGCCTAACGTTACAGATCGATAAACTCTTTGATGAGAGAGTGCCTGCATGGCGATCACGGACTTGGCAGAAGCAGCTTCGTACCATTCAAGCAGTCCCTGAGTCTGGTTCAGACAATGCTGTCATCATCGAGGAAAAGATGCGGCACAAGGATGATTCGTCATCTTAGCTCAAAATCTCAGTGCAGCTTCCCAGGTTGACTGCCAAAAGATAGTTACTTGGGGTTCCCAGGGCAGACTCGTTGAAGTGAGGGATTGGTGAAGGGGCGAAAGAAGCGCATGTAGCAAGGTCGCCGTAGCAGATGCCTAGAAGCTTGGGTCTAATATCTGATTCACTTTGTCCTCAGTTGACAAATGCTCTCCACACTATGTGGCTTCATATCAGTAGCAAATAAAAAAGTGTTGCTCATCCGTATCCTACAGTTGTGTCTTCATATCAGGATATCCCATCACTGTGCTGTGAGTGCTGCCGACGCGTCAGTAAATGGGAGATGCAGCAGCGGTCTCAGCGATGCCATTAAGAGTTTGAGTTCCTCTATTGAACACCGCTTGAAGGCTCCAACACTATTCATCCGATGTGGGCAGTGACCGTAGTGAGTGACCCTCAGCAAATTCTCTTCACAATGGCTGTCGAGCGATCGACCTTCCAGATTTCTCACAAAATACCTAAGTAGCAAGTGATCTAATCGTACTGTATGTTGATGTACGTCCCTTGATTCAATCCCCTAAGCTATGCAGTAATTGTCATCTCAATTTGAATGAAACTCAATGGCGCTACTGTCCTAATCAATCCTGACTACCAACTTCCCGGCGTTTGAACAACTCCCAAAGGCTTTCATTCGCGACGGAACTTCCTCAAGACAGACTTCTGTAATCATAGGCTTCACTTTGCCGTCTCTGATGAACTCCATGACCTCATAACTCTCATCCCATCCACCCGTTAACAGACCTTGAAACCTGATAGAGCGCTTAACCATCGAAGTCAGGGGAATTGCCAAGTTACCCCTTGATTTCGTGACACTGAAAGACGTGAGAAGTTTCCCTTACAAACAGCCTGAAAGTTGACTCATCCTACGCAAATCACTGAACCTCCGTCGCAAACGTAATCAGTCAGCCCTTCAAAAGCAGATTCTTCGCCTGATGTTACTAGAAGAGAGTCTGCACCGCGGCGAGCCTCTCCTATGGTGCGTAACCTACTACAGGCTACTACAGGCATCTGAAATTCTTTCCATAAACTCGGTCCGTTCGGCTGTTTTGGTATTTGTAGGTGCAGCGACAAACTCGTCAAAAACATCAGCAGCGCTTGAGCCCAAGGCTTTCACCTTCCATGGTAAATCGATACCAATAACCTTGGCTCCAAAGACGTTGCGAGCCATCATGCCGGCCAGATGGCCGATTCCTCCGCACACCCCACTAACGATGACCACGTCGCCGGACTCAGGATTCGCAGCTTTCAACGCTCTAAATGCCGCGGCCCCGGAGCAAAGGGCTGTGGTGTAGACACCGAGACGCGGGCCCACCGTCTCATCAAATATGAACTCTGGCAGGGGCATGAGGGAAGCATATGGTGCGGTCATGTACTGCTGGAACGTGCCGTTGTGGTTTCGAGGAAATTTCGTTTGCTTTGGACAGGATTCGGGCACGTTGCGAGTACAGTAATGACAGCTTCGGCAGTAGGAAGCTAGGTATCTCGCGGCAACCGGTTTCCCGAGGAGAGATCGATCGTGGCTCATGACGATGTGTCCAATGCCTTCATGACCAGCAATGTGATTAGGTCCCCGGAGACCATCTTCGGGGCCAAGCGAAAAGACGACATCCTGAAATGGTACGGCGTTAGTACACCTAGGGCTTTCGGTATCATCCCGTATTCTCATGAGGGGTCACTCACACTACCACAAATGCCAGTGCAAGCTATTTTCACAACGAACTCACCAAGACCAGGATGTTGGACGGGAATTAATTGAACCTCTTGGTTGAGTTTGGGGCCTAGATATGCCCTTTTGAGTCTAAGGCTGTAGTTCAACCACATCCCTCACGGTCGACCGCCCGGAGTAAGGACCTCAGCGGACGAGGTTATTTGCCATCACGGCGTCGAAAGGCTCAACTTACGTTCTACCCAAGAATAAAGGAGTTGTCCTTGAGTCGCAGAGTCTATACGATCCGTTGTACAGTCAAAGCCGATTTGAGATTTGCGGTTGTGATGATCAGATACATACATGTATCCTTTCGTGTTCACCACAACATAACACCTAAGCAAGCAGTTGATGAAATTCACCCCTATAGGTAGCCTTATTCTACGGATCATCATAATTCTTTAGCACGTAATATGTAGAAATATAAGTTCATTCTTGATTTAGCTCCTTAATGGTTCAATAGTTGCCCCTTTCGTCCGGTTTCCACTGCCTGTATCCCGCTCTCGTCGCCTCTCGGCAGCTGTCAACTCCTCAACCCTGTTTGACGACGAGATCTCTAGAGCCCTCAATTCCATTTAGTTGTATCCATAATATTCGGTACAGGAGGTAACCGAAACTCTGTATTTGCCGTCTTCAACCATTGACAACCCCAGTGATCAAAGCTGATATATGGAAGCCAGTCGCCTTTGATTCCTGACGCGAGAGGGGTACGTTCGGAAGCAGATGCCCTCACTCCGCTGATCTTATTGCAAGCTCAAGTGATACAGTCGTTTCGATCTCGGCGGCTGGCTCCGTGATAGAGTTAAGAATGCGGGGTGTCACATCGCCACGAACCAGATCCAAGTTTGAATCTACCATGGGAGGCCAAAGGAGGCTGATAGCTCGAGACTATTTGAGAAGGTGGGGGCATGTTCTCTTGTAACTCGGGGACCTCGACTTATCAACTGTAATCCCTCTATTACCAATACCATCTATTCCTACCTTCCTTACATCGGGACATAGTTCAACTTTTACGGAATGAGGGGTTCCTAGATGTTCGTGTGGTTGATCGGTCTGGCGGGCCAGGACGCCCGTTCGATGAGTAATCATGTGTGACGAAGTTTCGTCTTACACAAGCATTATTGTCAAGACAGCCGCAGTTCTGAAAGGAATAGAACACCTCTGTTTCTTGGTTTTCATCAATGATAGGGCAAGTCCCCGTTCCCTGCGAAGCATAGTTCACTTAGGGTACCTAGGTGAGATAGTGACGGTGTAAACGAAGTCCGACAAAGCTCGTGTCCAGTGAGGTACTCATCAGCGGCTTGGAGAGAAGATCTAAACACATCAACGCCAGAAGGATTTTACCACTTAGACTACAATCGTCGTAATCTGTATACAGGGTTGAATTTCCTGGAATTTGAGATGAAGCGCAAGCACACAGTGAAGGAGTCCGCCATAACCTCTGCGACGAAACCTGGCCCGCTACTGACGTTTCGAGAGTTCCCTGTTGTCAAGATAGAGTGGGCTGCACCATATCAGCCTTCAATCGCCTCAAACATTTGAGTTTAGCCGGCACGTGGGGTGGAGGAGAGGGCAGCATGCCACTCACTGCATGCTTTGAATTTTCTCCTTTCCCCCGACCCCGGATTTTGAGTGCAGCTGTCAAGTCATGAGTTCAAGTGCCGGAAGCCTGCTTGGGCCTGGCTCATATTGAAAGACCTCCATGAACGTGCGTGGGAAACCTGGCAACAGAGACACCCTCGATGGGGGGAGGGGGGCCTGGTAGCGGCCCGGATGAGCCGTGCGGCGGCGGCGGCGACATGACAACTTCCACTGAGAAGAGAGATGGTTGGGCTATCACACAACAGCACGGTTCCAGTAGAAGCTCTTGATTCGGATGATCATCTAGACAGGGTCGACCAGGTTATCTTGAGGTTGCAATGATTAGGTGTCATCGGGCATGGCCGCCCGAGAGGAGCACATCATTGCGCACACTGGCCAGGCACCATCGCACGCCGCTACTTACTTTGTCGAGAGGCTCGTGAAGCGGCCCGAGATCATGATGCTTCTTTCTTTTGGGTGTAATTACCATCTGTGGGTTATGATTCTCTATCTCTCATCAAGGAACACTGTTCCTGCCACGTCTTGGACTGGAGCCGGGCCCGCAGGCGACAAAACCCTCAAGATCAGCGAAGCTGCGGGTCACGGGAGGAACTTTCGTCCCGAAAGTCTACTTACTCCTGCGGTCTCACACGACATGCAGCAAGAGCCGGGGAAACTCCCCGATAGTCCACTAAGAAAGCCGAGAATCATGCCGGTCCCGAGAAGCCGGGAGTGGGCCTGCGGCCAGGTCGCCTGCCTCCCCATGAAGCGAGATCAATGCCTCATTGGCGCTTCATACGAGAAACACACGAGAAGAATTTAAGATGCTGAGCAAGCCGCTCGCTAAGTAGTCCGACTCTGATGCGGCGAGAAGGGGCCTTGAGGAAGAGAATCTGGAAAGCGATCCTCGTTGGATGGAAGGGCGGTCCAGCTGCCGGAGACTCCAGCGAGTCCTGGTCCCACCACGGCTTGATACGAGAATCTGAGAAAGAAACATCTGTGGGCCTGGGGAACAACCTGCTTCGAGTAGAATAGTCCTCAGCCTTCCATCAAGTTGTGGAGTATCCGACAACCTGAAGGCAGGGCTACGCGAGATCGTGTAGGCAACCTGCCGTCACTTGACTTGCCCCGGAGCAGCGTAACAATACGTGTGGGGTTGCGGCGTTCTGGCTCAGACCGATCACAGTAGTAGTGGCCAATGGTAGTTGGATCCCTTGAGGTTGATTTGTTGGTTGAGAGGATTTCTTGGTAACCTAGCTGAGCCAAGACGGCACGAGATTTGCAGGTCAGCGGTTGACAGGGCACTTGCCTCCGCCGCGGGCTAGATTGGAAACGAAAACTAAGCTCGTGTCTCAAATATGAGGATGATAATTGAAGCTCTATGCGGGGCCCAAAGCCCTCAGTTCCGGCGATGGCAAACGGTGTGAACAAGAGGCTAGTCAATGTTAACGCAGGATGCCCGGAGTGAAGGCGATCTGCCGGTACACTAGCTCACCGGCCGATGTCCCCAGATGACCGGAAAGCCTAGACGGCAAGTGTCGTTGCCACGTGGTTGTGAAGGGCGAACGGAAGAAGCCTCGTTTAGCTGACGGAGATGAGTTAAGAAGACGATGACACCGTCATCCGAAAGGTACGATGTAGCTTGGGACGGAACGAGACAAGGCAAGGGTTGTATATCTGCAGGGAATGCTCTAGAGGAGTCGTAGTTAGGCAACCTTAATTAGCGAGACCTGCAGGGCGTACAGTACTGCCTGTATTGCACAGCGTTGACGTAGCTATTGCAGTTCACTCGAGCCTGCCTCGAGACTTTGGGAGTATAAAACAAGGGGCTTGAGGTCGGTGAGCACTGTACAGCATGAACATCTGAAGGCCAGTTGGTGATGTTGGGATTTGAGCAATATGAGCAGAGTGGATGATTCGGGGTAGGACAAGAGGCCTCGATTGGTTCGTGGAGGAAAAGAAGGGGCCTCTAGCAAAAAGCCACGAATGGGAGGCAGTAAGGGGAGCGTCCGATCTTTTCACATCTTGGGGAGTTTCGGACCGACGACCGTTATGGTATGGCGCCACGCGCGACCGCCGTGCCGTATTCAGGCTAAATACCTCGTGGCACACTTGGGCAACCTAATTTGGTGGCGCCATTCTCTTCTTCTGGCCGGATTCTCGTTCATCCGTCATCGAAGAGAGTCGGATTTCGTCCGTTGCTGGCTGTTTTCCGAGGAAAAGAGAAGCTCAACGTTGGTCGGCACGTTCGTTCAAGAAGTCGTCCAGAACATGGCGTACACTGTATGCGTGGTTTACTGAAAGGACGCTGGTGAAAGATAAGATGATCGCACAGGTGCTTGTGGTCACTTGCTCTTTCAGTCATGGATTGCCCGGGTAAGTAGCTCTGCAGAAAGCTCGAATGCGAAGTTTGGTAGCGAAGTGATGGCCAGACACACACGGCACAGGATGGCATCCCGCCACCCAGCTTCATGCGGCGACCGAGATTTCGGCCACATCGGCTAGGATCGAAAGGGTTTTCAATCTGTCGGTGACTTTAGTAGGTAGTGACTCGAAGGCCAGCTCGATGAAAGGAGGTCCCTCAGGTTTGGGGGTTTGTGAGAGAGGGCCGTCATCATAGGTGCTGGGTTCATGGCTGGTGGTGATGGACCAAGGGCCGACCCTCCATCAAAAGTTCTCCAAAGGCCCCACACGCACCCTCTAGCTCCTCCAATTTCTACCGTTCTTCAACTGGTGCCAGTCCAGATGGATGGTCAACCTCTCTCAGAGTTCGTGGCTGATGCTTTCCTCGGGCTTTCTAGGTCCAATCACCAGCAAAGGCCTGGGTACTTTGGGGTAGATGTTGCGAAAGTGGCGCCTGACTTGCTCCGAGGCATCGAGGCACTCGGGTCGGCAAGACTAGGTAGGTAGCAGCAGTGTGCCTTTTCGAAAGGGCCGAGGAAGCTCGAGAATGAGATGCAGTGAAGCTGGCACCTCAAAGACCAGTCTTGCAAGAGATTCGGCACCGTCCCGCACCCGGCGTATCCCTCGGGGAGGACCGAATGGAATCTCTGGTGGTGGTGGGTGTGCGTGGTGTGGGGAGTTGGCGGGATGACTGCAACGGGGTGTGGGAGGTGAGGAGAAAGCAACATCCTTTGCTCCGCATGTGCGGAGAAGCGATGGGAGGCGTTTAAGTGGACCGGATCAGATTGACCGTTTCTCCATGCTCATTTCAAGCGCGAGGGTGTCACTGGGCATCTATTCTGTACAGGAGGTGAGATTGGTGTGGCAGCCTGCAGAAGGCATCTGAAGCGGACGCGAGCCAGTTGAGATGGATGACGGAAGGGCCAAGCTGGATGTTCCTCTTGGTACCTTGACGGTACGCGAGAGGTCATTCTCGAGGAGTCTAATGCTGGCCAAGCTCGAGCATCACACACTTCGTTGTGAGGGAGAAGTCGTGCTGCTATCGACTTGGTCCACTGAGGTCAAGCAAGACTTATGCCCATTACTCAGCTGTGACTGGCAAGTTGCTGGCGACGCCGTTACGCATGGAATTTGATTTGGGAAAACCTAAATCCTTTTCTTGGGTTCGGGCACGATTGCGCACCCCTTGAAGCAGGCCGCAGCATGCCCCTTACAGCTGCCTTAGCTGAAATTAAGTCAACACCATCACCGAACAACAGGGTGCTGACTCTGGCAACCCCAAGGGTTTCTGACTCCTGGGGACGATGGGGGGTGCTGTTGTCGTTGGGCCCGGAAGAGCTGGTAGGGATGCCCTTGGAGTTACCGGCACTCGACCTGCGGGACCGGAGCTGAAGGTTTACAAGCGTCTTCGTTCGGGGCTTTGCTCAACACCGTGGGGAGGATACGGGGGACGGGCATTGTCTTCGCAAGCTTTTGATTGAGGACGCCCCGGCAGGCAGTCCCTGTGAAGAGAACGATAGTGTGATCACGTCTCTCAGAGCGAGGTACGCTGATTGACTTGATGCAAAGAGACTGAAATAACCAACAGCTTGGTGATGAATGTAGCACTAGTTTTGATGATCTTGCCGGAGGGATGAGGCTGTTCAGTGTCCATGGGATATAGTGGAGGGGACATGGTAGTTAGCTGAGGGATGTACCTTCCTCTCCATCCCCCAGAGTTTCTCGTCGCCTGTCTAAGAAGAAGCTTCCCCTAAAGTCAGAACTTAGATGGAAGGCTTGATAGAAGGCGACTGATATGCGAGTCTTCCTAGAGCGGTGCTGTCAGGGAAAGAAAGTGCCAAAGGTTATTCTTCACGCGTACCGCCAGAGAGCATAAGCATCATGGAACCGAAGGCAACCTCCGTCTCTAATGAAGTCTGATAAAGTGTTTGAGTCTCTAGATGCAAGCAAGAGATTTCATAAGTTCATCAGATGGACCTTTGGAGCATTATCCTGAAGGCCCTGGAGTGAAAGGTTCAGCTGTGAGAACTTGAACTGGGAAGCAAGAAAGAAGACACGGTCTCTCGGAGTGGATCCTCCGCGTGACTAGCAGCACTCAAATTGACTCGGTGTCATCCAAGTACCTACCTACGCACTGCTCCGTACATCTCCTCCTCCTATCCATTCCTCATCCCATGTCCCTTGCACACCTCTCTGTCGGGTTCTTCTTCTCCAAGCTCTTCTGCTGCCACACAGACCCCTGTCACGCGTCCTTCGTCTGAACGGAGTTTGTACTGCCATGTACCGACAGCACCAGGACCAGCACCATCAACACCTGCATCAACAACCTGGAGAGTGCAGGCTGGGGAAACGAGGCAACTCACCTACTATGTAGAGGTTGCATTTGTGGCGCGGCTCGAAAAATGACGGATAGAGCTGTCGTCCCGAAGAAACGACGAGAAGCCGTAGAACCATCCGTAAACGCCACCCTTCCAGAGGTCCGCTTCCGCCTAGTGTTGGCTCCAACCCGTGCGCCATTGTCATCACGGCAAAAGATTCACTCTGGACGCCAACCGAAAGGGTCTTCCCCCCCATGTCTTTGGCTCCCTTTTGGGCAATTCCCATCAAAGTATCCAACGAGAATCCGGGGTTCTCGCCAGGGACGTTCTCGCCTTGGCCTGCGCGCGCTCTTTCAAGCGAAGGATTTCGTCTTGCTCCCATCGCAAGCTTGGAACAGGATGGCGACCATGGTAGTGCCGTTGGACGGCCCTCCCATCACACATTGACATGCCCATTGTATGACTCTCGGCACGAAGCTAAACACTTCGTAGCCTCGCGATCTAGGACAAAACGACAAGCAGTGCGAAGCTGGAACGTCTACACTCGGTTTTGATATTGAAAAGGAAGCTCGACTCCGTCACCCCGTCTATAGAAAGCATAACGAAAGACACATATAGCGCTTCAACGCTGTACGACCGACGACGTCGCTCCGAAATGGCCGGACCTTGTTCATGTCTGCCGTTTTCGTCGTAGCGGCGAACGACGCCACACCACTCTGTACATATATCGGCACTTCGCTATGCGTAGGGATGAGAAAGTCAGGCGCTAGGACTGGCAGCGACGGGCAAACCAAAGCCCTACAAGTCACGCCAGAGGAAGAGGCTGCGTTGCCGTCGCTATACCGGACCAACGAGACCGGGCAGCGGACAGAGAAGGTTGAGATGTCCAACAACGGCGATGCGTGTGCTGCTCGGCTGCACTCAGACCGAACGAGAACCTGAACAACAAGCCAAGAAAGCCTTCCGCCAAGCCGAATGGCATTATTGGCCGGGATGGCACAGTCCAGCGAACCAAGCTTGTTGCTCCCAACCCACTTTGGGGCCGCGTTGGTGGAGGTCTGGAGACGAGCCTGAAGACTGGAGAAAGCGAGCAAGACTCAAGCTTCCAAGAGACGATTCCCCATCTTCTCCCACCTCCTCGTTTTACCCCCCCCCCCCCCCCCCCCCCCCCCCGGGCCCAAAATATACCGCGCCAACCCCCCCGCCTTCTTTGCTACGGCTGTCACACTACGCTAGGTATATTCGGCCGATGTCCTAACCCAAGCAGCAACTGCGATGTTATGACTAGGTATCTGTCCCGAGGCAGGCCAAAAAACAAAGCCGAGCAAGACCATGGAAGCAGTGGGGATCCTGTCCCGGTGGGTGGGAAAAGGTTTGATGACAGTCCATGCCGTCTTGTCACCGCCATGTCATGCCTTGATCCTTCCAGAGGGAGGGACCGGAAACCCGTTCACCACCTTCACCGGGCTGGCTCTAATCTTCACCTTCTTCTCACTGTTACTGTTGATCAACCAACCGAACCCAATGCTGAGCCACACACGCACTCACGTAACCCCGTTGCCCCAAACCAAGACGAGATGATCCATCCTGGGGAGGAGGATGGACCATGGATGGGATGAGCCAGCCCGTCGTTCTAGACCGGGGCAGCATCTTTGGGGCATGTGGCCCTGTTCCTCGCCCCAAGATGCTCATTCATTCTCCACATTCACACCCGTAAATGGCCGCCCGTCGCCAGTTTTTCTCTCGATGCCGTTCGTTGCTCCTCACCTTAACGTCGCCCATCGTCAAGCCATCACCCCTGTTCCCCTCATTGCAACCCTGCCCCGTCCTCGCATGCTATTATGTACAAGCGTCCCATATAATATAGCTAAGCCCGAGGAACCACAAAGTCACCATTTCGCTTCTTTCCCCCCTTCGAGAACCTTAGCTGACGCGCCGTTGGTACGTCTGTACGTCTGTCTTTACGGAGTACACGCGCATGCGCTGCCACTGAGCATCATATTTTCAATTTCAATTTTCTTCTCGAATCATTCGCGCGTGTCCTGTAGCCGTACATACATCCATCCTTTCGCTGCGGCCGCCGCCCTGCCTGTTACCAGCCGTCCTCCTCCACATCCTTCGCCATTTTGTCCCGCCGGTCACATTATCCTACCATTGTAAATGGCATGGTCCACGTTATCGTACAACAAGCGGACCAGCTGAACTGAGCAGTAACCAACGGGCTTCAACAACAGTCTCGTTCCATCGGGCCATCTTCACGTACATGCCAAGCTTCGGGTGCAGACCATCCTCCATAGAGGGCCAAAGTCTACATCGAGGGCTTTGAGGAAGGAGGGCTCCGAGCCAGACCATCGAAACGGAAATCAACGTCGAATACAACGCCGTCGATACAGATTCGCAATAACTACTTTTGTCGAGCTTCCAAATTACGTTGATATTACCTACTCGCATCCCGATATACAAACCATTTATTCAAGATACCCTTCCTGTCGCAGCGCAACACGCGAGACACGGAACGCAACCAAACGATTCAACTATTTGGAACTCTCACCACCACTGCAACGACCGACATCAATAAACTTCACGAATCGATATCCAAGAAGTGAGTCAACTTGGTTCTCGGCCCCAATATTTCACTTTCACAGGAAGCTCTCCTTTGCTCAATTATCTCCTGCGCCGCACTACTTCAAGCACCCTGTCGCTTATCCTGTCTTCCTTACCCTGTCACCCAAGCCGTCTGTACATCAACCCCGCCATGATTGTCGTTGCTCTTTGCTGCGCCGTTCTCCAACGACATTGCAGATCTTTTGTCCACTACTTGTTCTCAGTCTAGCTTATATTACTATACCCCATGCCCATCCTTTCCTTCCGTCCCGCTCCTTTTACGCCCCCAAATATCCCAATCGGCCAACCGCTGACTGAGTGAAGCAGAAGTCACATTGTGTTATTGAAGGTCCGCATAGCCATAGATCAACGTCTGTTGCTCGCCTTGGTCTAAGGGATTAAAGTCGCCAAAGCCCGCTACAGTGACCCATCCAACTTCCTCGTGTCCCTCTAGCTGCTCAGTTTGCAGTCTCCTTGTCGCCCCTATCTGCATGAGAGAAGACAGATAGTTGCTCGTTGTTCGAGTAGCACCATCACCATTCAGCCACTACATCGCCAACAGCGGGCTTGGTCCCAGCACGAAGAAGACAAGATGCTGTCCAACCCGCTCCACCGCTTTTCGCCATACCATGGCATGCAGTCCAGCACCCTCTTCTCCAACGCCCACCACGTTCCAAACGGCCATGCCCACGCAAACGGTCTCGATCCCCTGACACCCAGCTCACACTATGCGCTTCAACAGATTCAGCAGCAGGTTGGGGGAGTACACGGTCCACACCTCGCGCGAGCAGGCCCTCAGTCGGCAAAACACCGTCAACACCCATATGGCGGGGGACCCGCGGGTCGGTCTTCTAGCACATCAGGTCCCGTTCGCAGGAGAATCAGCCGGGCCTGTGATCAGTGTAACCAGCTGCGTACAAAGTGCGACGGGCAACATCCTTGTGCCCATTGCGTAGGTAAGAGGACCGTTGGATAGATGATCGCCGTGATGCGGAGGAGCCAGGCTGGACTAGACTGACTGACACGCTCTCAGAATTCGGCTTGGGCTGCGAGTACATCCGCGAGAGAAAGAAAAGAGGCAAAGCGTCACGAAAAGACCTCGCCGCGCAAGCAGCCGCGCAAGCAGGGACGACAGGCACAGAACAAGGTTCGAAATCGCCTTCCGCCGACAATGGCCAGCCTACGGAGCAGTCCGAGTCCAGCAGCGCCAAGGCAGGGCCATCACTAGGCACGACGAGTTCGCAACACGGTCACATCGGCAAGGCCATGGACGAGCTCAGCGAGGACGCCATGCACCAAAGCCAAAGGACCGGCTCGCTAGATAGCATAGGAGACATGGTTAGCCACCAAGCCCACCTGGCAGCTCACCACGGGATGGACAGAGACCACCTCGAAAGCCCGACAACTCTGGATCTCAACGGCTACGGGGGCGTCCACGGGGGATATGACAGGCAAGGCCTGGGCGCACATATGATGCCGAGTCCGGCACACGCAGCGTACGGTCCAAACCCGGGCGGCATATCAGCATATCCCGACATACCATATCCCATGCAGACCCAGAGCCCAACGGCATATACCAACGGCGCTCCGTTCCGAATCGCAGCCAGCCCGATCAGTGCATACCCCCTCGGTGGTGAACCAACATCCCCAGAGTGGATTTCCATGTCTTCTCCTCCACCGGCGCAATACCAGTCTCACATGCCCCCGAGCAGCTACGCCCACCCCGGTCAACAACTACGATACCCGGTCTTGCACCCTCTGATGCCCCATCTCGGGAACCTCATCCCGGCGGCCTTGGCTTGCGACCTGATCGATCTCTACTTCGCGTCCTCGTCCTCGGCGCAGATGCACCCAATGTCACCCTACGTCCTAGGCTTCGTCTTCCGCAAGAGATCCTTCCTCCATCCCAGCAAACCCAGACGCTGTCAACCCGCGCTGCTGGCTAGTATCCTCTGGGTGGCAGCCCAGACCAGCGACGCACCCTTTTTAACCAGCGTCCCCTCGGCGAGAGGCAAGATCTGCCAAAGGCTGCTGGAGTTGACCGTCAGCCTGCTCAAGCCACTCATCCACACGCCATCAGGCGACACATCACCAGTAACCAGCCCAGCCATCGATGGCGTAGCTCTCGGCGGGCTTGGCGTCGCGCTTCCCGGGTCCATCAGCATGGACGCACTCACGGGCGAGTCTGGTCCATTTGGGGCCGCCGGCACACTGGACGACGTAATCACCTACATCCACCTCGCGACGGTGGTCTCCGCGAGCGAGTATAAGGGTGCGAGCCTGCGATGGTGGAACGCGGCCTGGTCCCTGGCGAGAGAGCTGAAGCTCGGCCGCGAACTGCCGCCAACCCCTCTCTCCATGAACCAAAGCAACGGACATGACGGGGAGGGCGGCATCGATGTTGACGCCGAAGACGAATTGGCAGGCAATGGGCACCCCGGTGTCATCACGGAGGAGGAGCGCGAGGAGCGCCGAAGGATATGGTGGCTCACGTACATTGTCGACCGCCACCTAGCCCTGTGCTATAACAGGCCACTATTCCTGCTCGACCTCGAGTGCGCCGGTCTGCTGCAGCCGATGGACGACACGGCGTGGCAGAATGGCGAGTTCCGACTCGCAAACGCCACGACGGACCCCAGCCTGGGAGGAGACGCCTCAACCGGTGCCGCCGGCGCATCGAGCGGGGGCCGTGTGCGCGGTCCGCACTTTGAGTGTACTGGGCACAGCATATTCGGCTACTTCCTCCCGCTGATGACGATCCTGGGTGAGATTGTGGACTTACATCACGCGCGAAACCACCCGCGGTTCGGCGTGGGGTTCCGCTCGGCGCGCGAGTGGGATGACCAGGCTAGCGAGATCACGCGCCACCTCGAGGCGTATGAGAAGAGCCTCGGGCGGTTTGAGCAGCTTCACCTCACGCGGGCCAACGGCAATCTCAACCTCGACGATAACGGCGACGTGGTGGTGGTGAACCCGGAGAGCGGCAGCGTAGACCACGGCCCGATTGCCGACATTGGCACACCTTCCGTACACTCGGTCCACACGACCGCCTCCTCCTCACTCAACCGCATGACGGAGAGCGACATCCAGACCAAGATCGTCATGGCGTACGGCACCCACGTAATGCACGTGCTGCACATCCTCCTGGCGGGCAAGTGGGATCCCATCAACCTCATTGACGACAACGACCTGTGGATCTCGTCGCAGGGCTTCATCACGGCGACGGGCCACGCCGTCTCGGCGGCCGAGGCTATCAGCCACATTCTCGAGTTCGACCCGGGCTTGGAGTTCATGCCGTTCTTCTTTGGTATCTACCTCCTCCAGGGGTCGTTTTTGCTGCTCCTCATTGCGGATAAGTTGCAGCTTGAGGCGTCGCCTAGTGTTGTCAAGGCGTGTGAGACGATTGTGCGCGCGCATGAGGCCTGCGTTGTGACGTTGAATACAGAGTACCAGGTGAGCTTTCACCTTTTCTTGACCCTCGCACCTTGTTTGCGATCAAAGAGACTTCGATGCTAACTGTATTTTTGTAGCGCAACTTTAGCAAGGTTATGCGAAGTGCTCTGGCGCAGGTCAGGGGTCGCGTGCCGGAGGATCTCCACGAGCAGCACCAGCGTCGACGAGAGCTGCTTGCTTTATACCGGTGGACTGGCGATGGTACGGGGCTTGCACTCTGAGGTCACTACTCAGGCCCCAGCCAGTGTGTTGCGACATATCTCGAATGTGGCTTGGGGAGTACGAATACATATCGGGAGAATCTGATGGTAGATGAGAATACGGCCTCTGGGATGTCAAAAAGTAATGTGAGACGACAGACAGATGGGAGGGGGCGATGGAACTGGATGACGGGTTACTGGAAAAGGGATTCTATCGTTTTCAAAGGGGCTGGAAATTTAGGGAAGAGCCAAGGACTGGGGAAAGGAATTCCCCCGTTGGTTGCAGGTTTTGTTCTGAAAAGGTGTGCTGTGGCTTCAGTTGTTTTATATACCTTGAGTTGATTATTGGGGGCATTTGGCTTTTCTGTGTTGATTTTCGGTGTTTAGGAGGAAGGGGAGCTGATTGAGGATGAACAATGTACTAGGCAGGCCTCACTTGAGGTTTTCCCTAGGCCCAGAGAGCGGGTAGAGACTTGATGGAGAAGAGTTGGGTAGAAAGAAGAAACTGTTGTCTCTTGGACGATATTTGTGAATCTTGAGTTGTATGTCGATGTCAAAAGCCTTACCTACAATTAATGTTTGGTTCGGGCAGACGCAAGGGAATGGGTGACGCTGAACTTGCCTGTATCAGCATATATATGCCGCGAGCGGGTAGCGTCGATATCACTATTCACAGACATTACAGGTGTAAAAGGGACGGGGAGTAAATGGGTGAAGTCAAAACTCGGGCCCCTGGATCCAGCACCCACACACCGCGACCGCGACGGAAGGCCCGCCACTCACCCATTGCCAAGCGATAGATGAAGAAAACGCAAGAATAAAGACAAAAGAGAAGAAACAGCGGCCATATGGGATCAATATGGTGAAAATAGCAAAAGAAATGCGTCGAGGGGGAATCGAACCCCCGGCTCCCCGACGCTGCTGGATGGCAACGGAGAATTTTACCACTAAACCATCGACGCAGCTTGTGGTTGGATGTTTGTTTCTTCCAGAAAGCGGATTATAATGCATGCGATTAAGGGGAGTCGCGGGGAAGAGTGCTCCCCTGCGGGTCGGCAGGGACATCGAGGACCCGAAAAGCCGGCAGGCGATATCGGCGGTCCCTTGGAGGTCGTGGCGGAATAGGGCCGAGGTGGAAATTGTCTGAACCCTCAACACGGTCTTTCGCCAGTCGTTTGTGAGCGAGAATTTGGAAAGTCTGAGAAAAACCCGCAAAAGTTGTGATTCATGTTGAAGCTTTGTCAACAGTCGTCCCCCGAGACGGAGGTCATTGTTCAAAGTTTCGATTTGACATTTGGGGGCGCTTTCTGGTTGCATTGGTGACGTCGATGTTCGGGTAGAAGTGCGAGCGCGCAGATGGGAGAGAGGGAAATCTCCACTGGGGCAGGGGAGCTCGCGGCAGGCAAAGAAGCAGAGTGGCAGCGTATCCGTGCAAGAGGGAGAGAGGCGCAGAGAGAAGATGCATGAGGATGGGTCTATTGGATGCTGCATGTTGACTTTGTTCACCTTGATCCATTCGGTCAATAACATCGGCGTATTGGATAAGATTGGCATCACGACGTTCAACAACTATAGGTAAAGACGCCCGTACTTCTAAAGGATAGACGATGAGTTTTCCCCAATAACCTGAAAGATATCTGCATCCAACGTAGGTAGACGGACTACCTATCTCTAGTCATCTCACAAAGCAAACAATAGAACCGCATCTCGAGGGTTCGCGAGCCTGTTTTTTCAACACCGGATCTACGGATATACGTGATATTCAGCAGCGTCAAGGATTCCAGTGATCCAGGTCCTGGGACTGGCACCATACATGTATGCATGGTGGAATGGCGGCACTCGGGGAGACTTTCCCGGCGATTCTTACCTGGGTTTCTGGGGCCCGAGACAAGACAAGCCTTTTTGCCCCCCGGCGCGGTTTAGTGCTGATCTGCCCACCACTGTAGCATGCCATGGGGAGCCCACGAAGTGGGTTGGGGGAGGGATTGCAGTGGTTGACTTTCTTGACTGGATCGATGAAATTAGGATTGGGACCCCCAGCCATCGAAGAAGGCAAAGCAACAGCAGGTCTTGCGCCCCTGACCGGCCGGCAGTTGGTTTCGGGGGACTTGGATCCATTGGATGGATTCGTTTCCAAGAGAAGGGTTTGCTGTATTCGTACATAGGTCTTGCTGTATGGCCATGAACCGTGGAGCACTAATGTACAATGTATGTGAGTAGGCGGATACTCACCTCGGTGTCTTCCCGCTCGACGTTTATCAGATCCGATGCTAGGCGGGAGGTAGAGAGAGGCAAAGGCAAACCTGGAAGATGGGACGGCTGGACTGGGGGTTGTATTGCCCGTTGCTACTTAGTACTGGGCATGTAATGACCAAGGGGCGGGCGGGCGCCTTACTACTGTGCGTATGTTCGTCCTTTGCCCCCATCGATCGCGGATTTCCCTCCGTGAGTGAATGCTTGGTCATGGTGTTGGATCATGGAACCTGGGAAACCGGTACCATGTAATGGAACTGGTTCGAGACCGCGGCTCTTGTATTTGATGAAGTTGTTGATTCGAATAGGAACTTTGGTTGCTCAATCCCATGACCTGGATCATGGATGATTAGCTCGTCGGACTCTGAACAAGGCGCAGAGAGACAAGACAAGCGTTTCCCCTCTTTTCTTCGAGTCCCTTGTTAATGTGTTGGAGAGAAAGAGAGCCGTCCGCCGTGTCGCTCCCGGCCAAGTCCCCAGTTCCCGGCCAGGCTGAGTCTCAGTCCCAGTCCCAGTCCCAGTCCCAGAGAGTTTCTCCCCCCCCCCATTCCCAATTCCCGCCGTATTCCGCACGTTCTCCCTTTCCCTTTTGTTTCCCTCCTTATTCCCATCGCAATCTCCCCCCCTTCGTTGTGTGACGCCCGCCGCCGCACCGCATTACCTACGTGCCTCTATCGCCTGTTTATTCCCAGCGCAAACGCGCAAACACACCTCGCCTCCTCCGGCCTTTCTGAGCACCGGGCGACACCGATACCGACACGGATCAAATCACTATACTTTCCGGAAACTTTGCGCAAAGCCCGCCCGCCGCCGCCGCGCCGCGTCTCGCCCATCCACTCTCCGTCCTCCGCTCCTTGGAAATCTTGGCCTTTATTCCCGGGGAACGGAAGCACCGCATTGGAAGTTCTCAACCAACCGGCCGGTTGCGACGTCCGGCGCATCTAATCATTCGAAATCGGGTCATAGTGTCTATCCCGTAAACTTTCTTACGATCCTCCGCCCGGCGACTTGGACAGCCAACCGCCTGGAGCAATCACAATCCTCCCGTTGAAGCATCGCCTTGGGCGTGCCCAGACGGCGGAAACAGAAACAGTCAAGCTTGTCTGGATTCTCGTTCGCTCACCTTCGCGCCGCTATTGACCATCAGCATCAAATCCGGTCTTGGCATAGGCCGCTCGTCTAACAACGTAACTCGAACCATCGATTCACACCATCAATTCATTCAATTGAGGCGCGCGCAACAGTTCCCAAACGATCAACAGCCCAACATGGCCTCCAAAAACCGTCTCCCACACCCTCAACAGCAACCCTTCACGCCGAGCTCGGCCTCAACAGCCTACGGATCGCCAGCCCCAGAACACGGGCGTCTACCATCACTTACTCATCCTCATATTCAAAACGGGGCAGGAGGAGGAGGAGGAGGAGCAGCCGCCGCCGCCGCCGCCACACTCTCACCGACGGCATCAGCGGCATCGGGCCCGTCATACTCGACGCCCGTCGCGCGGCAACAGACGACGACTCCGAAAAGCTACGGTAATGGCGCTCATCACCAGCACCCGGATGAGAGCGTCGACGGCAACTCGGCTAGCCCCGATGACGGCGGCGACAAGGGCCCTGCGAGGAAGAAGCAGAAGCGTAATAAGCCTACGTTGTCGTGCTTTGAGTGCGTTGAGCGCAAGACAAAGGTTTGTGTGATTTGTTTTGTTTCTGAATCCGTCTCACCTTTTTGCTATCTTCGAATCACGCATCCTATTTTTCTCTTCTCTTTTTTCATGTTATTGGATTTCTCATTATGGCGTGCTTGTTGCCCCCACACCGAATTGCGCTGTTGGTTTGAGCGTACCAATGCTAGATCAAATTTCATCGTTATATCCCAAGTGGTCAACTCACTTCCGGATGCTTCATGCTAGTTGCACCGCGCGAACACAAAGACTCCATGCTTTCGCGCTTGGCACAAGGCATGCATCCGTCGTAAATCTTGTTTCTAAACTCGCCGTTGCTTCTCAGGTGAAAGCAGCAGGCCAATCAAATCCACAGAGTCCAACCAAGAACATTTATACTAAGAAAGACGCAGTGTGACCGAGGTCGACCCAACTGCCTAGCATGTATCAAACGTCAAACGGAATGCCAATATGCAGCAGTGGCGACGATACTTGAGTAAGTCCATTCACACGGTTCTCGAGACTATTGTCGAGACTCTTGGAACACAACTAAGTACAAAGCAGAGAAACAACAAGATCCCTCGCCAACGGCCGCCGCATGACGAAACCCCCCAAACCAAAAGGACCAGGCGACATCTCCACCATCCCAAACGTAGCAGACAGAGGCCTCATCGAAGGCCGCGGCTTCACCTCCCGCGGCTCCGTCGGCTCCGTCGCCTTCTCCTCCTCCACCGGCCTCCTCTCCAACGTTCCTTACTCCCTACCCACCGCCAGCAACGTCTTTGGCATCGGTTCCGAGCACCCCTTTGCCAACTACTGGACCTGCGAGGGCGGTCTGCCCGAGGTCATCTCCGTCCTGCCGGAAAAAGTCCAGGCCGACATTTTGCTGGCGCAGTACTTTGAGTGCGTCGACCCGGTTTACCCCATGATCCACCGGCAGACGTTCTACGCCGACTATGAGCACTTTTGGAGCCTCAGCGCCGAGGAGAAGAACCGTGTCGATGCGGCGTTTGTGGGCCTTATCTTTGTGATGCTTGCGCTGGGTACGCAGTTTGTGACGTCGAATTCACCGAGCGATGCGAAGCAGACGGCTGAGTTTTATGCGTCGGCGAGTAACCAGGCGCTGCGCATGTTTTCTTACCTGAGTGCTGCTTCGTTGCGTTCTATCCAGTCCATGGTGCTGTACGTAGTCCTTATCCATGCTGGATGTTCACACATCCATCCAAGGATGATACTGACTGGACCAGGTTGACGTACTTCCTCATCAACGACAACCACGCCTCGGACGGCTGGGCATTTGCCGGTATACTCATCCGCCAAGCCTACGCCATGGGTCTACACCGCGACCCCAACATCGGTAGGCCATTTCAACAATCTACTTCAAGAGCACACCAATGAATTAACACACGCATCACAGTAACCCCCGACGCCCCCATCTTCGAAAAGCAACAACGCCGCAAACTCTGGCAAGCCGTCCTCCTCCAAGACACCTTCCTCACAGTCCTCCTCTCCCTCCCGCCCTCAGCAACCCACACCGACGTCTCCGTCGAAGACCTCGTCGACGACGGCTCCGCCATCGCCTCCTCAGACCCGACAGACATCGCCTACATCCGCGGCTCCTGGACCCTCGCCAACCTCGTTCAAGAAACAATCTGCTCCCCGCGCTCCCTCGACCTCCCCATCTGCGCCACCGTCCGCCACAAGTCCAAACTCATCGCCGACTTCCGCTGCGTCTACCGCTCCTTTCCCGATGTCTTCCGCTCCTGGGACGCCGATAGCCTCGCGGGCCTAGCGCGGACGAATAAGCGCGTCGTGAGGCAGACGCTGTTCCTGACGAGTAATTATCATCATAACATCATGCTCGTGTATGCGTCGGAGAGCGCGGAATGTCCTTCGAATACGCGGGGCACGCTGGAGGCGGCGCACGAGGCGATTACGTCGTTTTTCTTGTTGTTTGACATCTTTGAGCTCGAGGCGCGGGTGTGGTGGGTTTTCAACCACCGCGCGTTTCTTGAGGCGCTGTGTATTGGGAGCGTGCTGCGGGAGATGGGTAAGGACCCTGTTGCGGCGGAGGAGGCGGAGAGGGATCCGTTGTTCCAGAGGGCTAGGAGTGATATTGGTGAGTATTCTTTTTTTTTTCCTTTTCTTGTTTTCCTTTTCTCCCCTCATTTGCTATTCTCAATTTCCTGGTATCTCGTTTTTCGACTTCATGTCCTTGTGTGCTGACTGGCATGGTGCAGCAAAAATGATCAAGATCATGGTGTTGATGGGCGAAGGTGAGCAAGGGTCCGATGTCGCGCGGGCCCGTGTGCAAGTGTTGAAGGACCTCTTGCCACCCCTGTAAGAAAGCCACTGCCGATATCATTGCTTGTTCATGCTCTCTGTGTTGCGGCGGGGTCTACTATACCTGTCAACCCAGGGGCTATCTATAATCACAGAGTTGCGGTTGTTTCGCAGATCTGTTGTTTCCCCAGTGGAGAGAGAGTCCGAGAGCCATGTTACATATATGCAACTCTTGTTAGTTGACGCGTGGACGGGCGGGATTCTTGACTACAATATTTGTTTCTTGGGCGATCAGTGGTGCAAAGCTTGAGCCTCGAGGCGTTGCGTGGTCTTTGTCCGTGTTGTTTGGTTTTGTTCTGTTGGTTGGTTCGTCTTGTATATCTCCCTTGCTGGCACTGTACTGTATCCGTAGGTTAAACCATCTGACAGTCTACGGCGGGGCGAGAGAAGGGTGGCAGCCGGGGAGAACGGCGGAAGGGGTGGCGTATCCGGCTTGTTTGTCCGATGGCTTCTGTCTTTACTTTACAAGGTACGGATGGGTATTCCCACATTCAGGAGTTCTCACGGGACATGCTTGTATGTTTACAGATTACGTTGGACGAGACTACCTTAGTGTATTGCTTAATCATAGGCGAATGAGCCTTCTTTTTCTTCACCATGTTCGTCTCCCCCTTCCTTCGGCATTGGGTCTCATGTTTGGTCCCCTCTCGTCGTACCACAAATCCCACGCCGTCGTCGTCTAAAGGCGGATGGCCTCGTGGCCATTGATTCGACTACTAATCGAGGAGGACCCGCGCGCCCACGGCGGCAACGAGGACTGTGACATGCCAAAATGGCCCATGGAGGTACGGATATGCGTGGGCTGTACGGAGTATGCGCTTGGCCACCCATTTTCGTTCATTCTGGGTCAAATAGCTCCACCCGATCGTGGACCGAGGGACCGAAAATAATCAAACAACCCAAGGCAAAGGACCAGAAGCGGCGTGGCCGTCCAGGACGTCGGGAGCAAAGTGCAGCAGCAATGCGCGTCCAGCAGTGCCGAATGCCATGAGTTCACTGTTCATCGCCTCGACGGTGGGGACCCGTCGCCTCGGAAGACTAGCGCGGTCCCCCACGTCCCGGTGCTTAGCCCGTTCGGGATCCACCCGAGTCTGTGGTATGCGGTTTACCCAACACAGGGACAACCAACGCACTCACGCAGCAAACGAGACATCACAGCTCTAGCAGTCTAGCTGCTAGCTGCAGACTGCAGACTGCAGTGTATCCGTAGTCAGCGGGGAGGGCATCAAGGCCATGAACCACTTGGTACATACTAGTGTTGTCGAAAAGAAACAGGAGCAGAAAAGAATCCCAGGGCCGTCGCATCAACCCCACCGGTCCGATGCTTAGCCGTGGTGCGCTGATTCTCATTGGCTATCCGAGAGAGTGGAGTTCGGGTGGATCCCGGCGCGGGACTGGCAGTTCGGAGTGCACGAGCCAAGCGGCAGGTACGTACCTCGAAAAGGTCGAGGGGACTCGTCAGCTCATCGGCGCTGATTGGCCACGGCCGGTCCAGCGGCGCTGAGAGGATTGCGCAGCCCAAATGTCCCTGATTCTGTGCCCACTTGCCTCCTGGCGTGAGACTGCGCGTCCCTCGACACTGCCTCCCTCTGTTTCTCTCTCTCTCTCTGTGTGTGTGTGTGTGTGACTGTGTGGATGTGTTTGTATCTCACAGGAATTCTTCCTTTTTTTCATTCTCTCACTCACTCTCTCTCTCTCTCTCTCTCTTGCTTCCTCACCTTCTCAGTTCATCACTTTTCATTCTCAGTGGAAAGTGTGAATACCTTCCACTCGTTCTTCTTTCATATTTGTTTCGTTCCCACTAAAAGAGGGTTTTGTAAGTGTGGTGTGAGTGTGAGACATCAAGTCTTGCCCATTGCTGGTGTAAGACGACTGGACTAGCAACAAGTTGGCACACCGAACCAACGCACACCATCAGCCAATACACGACTCGACGACATACATATCTACGTACACACACACACATCTACCAGGCAGCCATTTATCACCTTACCCTGCCGTCCGCTCTCCATCCTTCCTTCACCTCTCACTCCTTGTCACCCGGACCTAACCAAACTCAACTCAACCTCACTCTCAACAACGAAAGGACGCTTGACCATAAGGACCCAATTGCTCCAGGCAGAGATCTTTCACAAATACGAACATTCGGGGGTTTGTAAACGCCTGGGCCAAGGAAAGGGGTTGACGACCGTTGAGTCTCGACGAGGGTAAACCTCATATCCCGTTTTTAGCATCAAAACATCCCCCAAACCGCCATCATGCGTGGCTTGGCGAGGGCTCTCCTGCTCGCGCCGGCCCTCGTGGGCGCCGCTCCGTCCAAGATTGGCATGGAAAAGGTCAATGGTATGTATTCTCCCCTCGTATTCCATTCCACAGTTTCATCGTCCATTCATCATGACTGACAACCTCCAGATGCCTCCCCATCAACCTTTGTCACCTTTGATATCCCACCGGGCTTCAACGAGGACCAGACCAAGCCCTACGTAAGTTCATCCGCTGTTCACTCAAAAGTGTCACAGACCTAACACTTCACAGACTCTCCACCTGGAAGTCCTCGAGGCCCCCTCCCCTTGCGCCTACCCAAACATCAAAGTAAACGACAACGCCCTCTCCCAGGGCGGCCACACCCTCGGCCGCGGCACCTTTGCCGGCGACCACGACGGCTCAACCTTTATCGCCTCCTGGTCCGCCACCTGCGCCGGCGACGAGCAACTCCTCCGCTTCACCCTCGAGTCCCTCTCCGGCCGGACCCTCGCCTCCGACCTCGCCTTCGTCGCCCGCTTCCGCCAGACCGCCCCGGCTGCCATCATCGAGGTCGCCGGCAACGTCCGCACCTCGGACGCCCACCCGCCTCCTCCCTCCCTCCCTCTCCCCGAGTTTGAGGGCCACTCTCCCCGCCCGGGTGACGACGAGGATGGACTCCTCGAGGATCCTCCCTTCCCCCCGCCGCCGCATCACCATGTCGGTAACCACCCGGATAACCACCCAGGCGAGCAGGGACAACGCCCCCCTCACCACCGGCCCGGCCACGAGAACGACGACGACCACCACCGCCGCCCTCACCACCCCGCGGACCGCCCCGAGGAGCACCCCGAGCTCGACGAGAAGGTCCTCAAGGAGCTCGACGACCTCGAGTGCATGCGTCACCAGCTCCACGCCCTCAAGCACGCCATCCACGAGAAGGAATCCCGCCTCGCTCAAGACCACGGCATCTTCCCCCCAAGCCACCGCGGCTTCCGCTCCTGCGACTCCCTAAAGTGCGTCATCGACACCCTCATGCACCGCGTCCGCGGCGGCGGCGGCGGGCCCGGCTTCCACGGCAAGGGCCGTCACCCAGGAGGCCCCGACGGCAGAAGAGAAGGTCACCACCACGGCCGTCGTCCCCACGGCCCTCCCCCTTCGTGCCCGGGCTTCCCCTTCCCCGAGCACGGCAACCACACAAAGGGAAATCACACCACGCCCCCGCCGCCTGGTCCCCCTCCTCCTCCGGGCTTCTGCCACTGCCTGCCGCCCCCTCCCGAGGGTCCTCCCGAGGGTCCTCCCGAGGATGCCCCTGAGCCACCGCCAAGAGGACCTCACCACGGCCCTCCTCCCCCGCCGTTTGACGAGCCCCCTCATGGACCTCCTCACGACCACCACGGCCCGCCGCCTCCTCCTCCCCCGCCTCCCTTTGACGGACCTCATGGACACCACGGCGGTCCTCCTCCTCCTCCCCCGCCTCCCTTCGATGGCCCCGGTCCCCACGGCCACCACGGACCTCCCCCTCCCTTCGACGGTCCTCACCACGGCGGTCCTCCCGGACCCCCTGGTCCTCCTCCCCCAGGCCCCCCTCCCGACTTCAAGCATGAGCACCCCCTCGACCACGAAGGCGACCACCGCGGCCCTCACGGCCACCACGGCGTAAGTCAAACCCCCCTTCCCCCTCCCGTCTCCCAACCCAACAAGCATACTAACACCAAACAGCCCCCGGGTTTCCCTCCCCCGCCGCCAGGCCCTCACGGCGGTCCCCACGGACCTCCCCACGGAGGACCCCATCATCTCCCCCTCCCCGCCAAAATCTCCGTCGCAGTCCTCCTCTTCGTCGGAATACTAGCCCTCCTCCGCGCCGGCATCCTCTCCCGTTCCTCCTCCCGCCCCTCCTCCCGCAGTGAATCCCGCGCAGAACGCCGCGAACGCAAACACTCCCGCCGCGCCCTCCGCCGCGACTACCGCGAAGCCCGCAAAGAAGCCTTCAAAGCCACCCTCACAGACTTTTGGTCCCGCATGTTCACCACCGGCAGCGTCACCGGGGAAGAAGACGAGGAAAAGCAGGCGTTCATGAACAGTCGGCCCTCTCTTTCCGAGTCGGAACGGGACTTTGAGACGATGGAGAGCATGACGGATGAAATCACAGAGTTCCGCAACGCCGCGACCCTCGTCTCGGAGATGGTTGCCGCCGAGGAGCGGAGGCAGAGGATGAGGGAGCAGGAGCAGCAGATGCAGCAGCAACAGCAGCAGCAGCAGCAGCAGCAGCAGATGCAGTGCCAGCACCAGCACCTCATGCCCAACCACTCCCACTTCCAGCGCCCCGCCATCATCGCCCCTCCCTCCCCGACGACCGCCTTTGCTGAGTACATGGGCGACGACGTCCTCCCCGCCTACGACGAGCACGCCGCGCCGTCCGTGATTGTCTCGGACGGCTTCAGCAGCTACACGCCCGGTTCGAGCGACTATACCCCCAGCGCGGGGTCGGACACGGCGTCGAACATTGATGATGTCCTGGGAGAGACCAAGAACTAAGAATTAGTTACCTGAGAATCGTTTCTTTTGGTTACTTAAGTAGAGAAGGGGAGGGGATGTATATGGAGTGTGTAGGAAAAAAGAGATTTTTTTTGAGTATAAACATTGATATTTAGTAGAGATATCCCGCATCTATATCACATCTTTTTTTTTTTTCTCTTATGCATTTTTGTTGTGTGTTTTTGCTTTTGCTATGTACATATCATCGGCGTTTGTGGGCCTGTAGAGGCCTTAACTCTTGGAGAGTGTTGGTTGTGTGGATACATATACTCGTCGCTATTAAGCGATGAAGATGAAGAGATAATCATGAATGATAGACCTGAAATCGCAGTCTCGCATATACATATACATTTCCATCAACATGAAGCGCGTCACATTGGCAATCAACTCTTTTTGCGATATGCGGTAGCAGCTCATTCGTACGCTTGCAGTGACATCGCTCGCCAGGCAAATCTTGTGTCTATCTGAGATAGGTATGCAAGGTGAACGACGACAATGCAACTCGACAAGGCGCATAGACATCGGCCAACATGCCGTCCTTATGCTTCTCGGTTGTTCCAGCCTTTGCAAGGGTCTTGGACGGCGGTCGTTTGGCGGATCGCGTGGGATATGCACGTTGAAGTAACGCTTGGTAATTATCGCAACCGTGGAAGCCACTACAACCAGGACCAGACAGATAAAAGGCCAGGATCCTCAGGGATCTAGTGTAGGAAAAGGGTTCTTGTGCTTGTTTGAACACCTTCAACGTGCACCCGTGTCAACCAAAGATGAACTCCCGGTAGTTCTTTCCTATGCGCTCCACTCCCTCCTGGAGTGTCCACTTCTTGATCTCGCATACCTTTCTGTACATATCCTCTAGTCTAGCATCCATCTCTTCACCGGCGATATGCAGGTCGCTCTCAACCAAAATGCTATTGTCAGGACACGCCTGAAGAACTTCAGCAATCTTGTCAGCACCAGCTTTGGTGCCTAGGTTAATGGCCGAAGAGAATGAAAAGAACATGCGCGCAGGTATGGCTGGGTTAGTATACTGCTTCAGCATCTCAGCAGGTCCAGAGTACGAATGGAGGCATATCCGCGGTGGGTACGGCCTCGGCGGGACGTCTTTCCTGCCAAACTCATCCTCCTCGAGTTCATCCTCGGAATCAAAGTCTTCGGCTCCCTCGGCAACGAGACGACGCTTCTTCTTGCTGACGACCTCCTTCTCGTGACCCTTCCACAGAGAAGAGAGGGTATCATGGAGAACACCGTGGGCTTGGACGCCGTGGACACTCACAGGACGGCCAAGATCACCCGCGAGAGCCAGCTGAGCTTTCAGCACGGCAACCTGGTGGGGCATCTTGACATGTTGAGGCGCCAAACGACGCCCCTCGCGACCACCTGGGGTAAGGCCTTGGTCACGAGAGGACTCGTCGGCGTCCGTTCGTCCTTGGGGTAGGCGAAAGGCCTTGTCAAGACCAACCTCACCGACTAGAGCCAGGGGATGATGTTGGAGGCGGGCCCGGGTATCGGCTAAAAAGGCCGACAAAGAACGCGGGGTAGGCAAGGCGTCGAGAAAGTCGGGGTCCTCAGGGGCCGGGGCTAGCACGGCCTGGTAATGGCGCTTCTTTGCGTTGGGCTGGCCCTCGTGGTACGTCCTCTCAGCCTCGGGCACGGTGTCGTCGAACAGCTGGTAGGAGAACCACGGATGCCAGCCAAAGGAGGGAATCAGATGACCCTGAGACAGCTCGTACTTTGATCGCACACCGTGGGACGCAGCAACCTCAGCAACGAGGGCCTGGTCTTGGCTCCGGGTGGCCATGACGGTTAGAGTCGAGGCGCGCATACTAGGTATAGCCTCGATAGTGGACATGGTGTCCGTGGGGTGGCAATGAGCATCGTAGATGCCAGATTCCCAGGGGAAGGGGTCCGATGAAGTCGAGACAGAGGTGACGGCGGTGGAGCGGGTAAGCTCCTCACCGTCATGTTGGCCGCACATAGTGGTGTTTGACTGGCTGCTGGTCGGTGCTTGGTCTGGATCTGGTGGTGTACCAGGTTGAGCTTAACGGGGAAGCGGAAAAGGCGGTGATCGCCAGGCCTCAAACAGTAAAGACGGCTGATGCTCAGAGAAGAGGTATAAAACGATAGATAGACAGTTTGACTATCGCTATCTCCTACCGGTGGCTGCACCCCGGAACCTTCCAATATCTCTGGCCGTCTTGGAAACGCAAATGAGTGGCCAGGAACGGGACGGCTGGAAGTATGGTGTTGGGTGACGGTTGCAAGCGGGGACTTTGGCGCGCTGGGACGGTCTTGGACGGCGGCAGGAGGGTTGCGAATACGACGAAGACTCTAAGCGTGGGGAAGTACCTCGAGGCACGTTCAAAGGCGTAGATGGAGAGACAACGGTGATGAAAGAGAATGTTGGCCGATACGCCGGAGATGGGAACCCGTCAACTAGGAAGTGCGAAGTGCGAAGTGCAAAGAGCCGTAGGAAGGCTACCACACTGGTGCAGAGGTGACGGATGGTGATGTGATATTTTTGGAGTGGAGCATCTCGATGTTGTCGATATGAAAGGGCGCGATGATGCTGTGGCAGTGACAAGGGAAAACGCGGGGCAGCTCCGATCCTCTCTGAGCCTCTGAGAGCAGGCACTTCTGGAACGGGTAATTAGTGGGACTGTTGTGGAATGATGTCAAGGGCAGGAGCAACCCGAAGGGACTTGCATTTTGCAACTTCCATTTCCATTTTCATTGGATCAATTTGAAGTTTTGGAAGGAACGTCGGGAAACGGACGGGGACGGCCGGGGGAAGGAGGGGAGGGAGCGGGACTGGCAAGTACCTTCCTGAAGGTGAGGTGAGGTGAGGGGTGACAAGGGAAAGAGCGTGGATGGACAGGAAGGAGACACTCGAGACCCTTGCTGCGTCGTGCTTTCCGAATCCCAACTTGCAATGCTCCTGATCACCATCCTCTTCATCCTCTTCGTCGCCTCGTCTGTACTTTTCCTGAATCCGAAGAAGAGCGTCACTGCTACTGTGACATCTTACAAAGAAGCCCTACCATGACAACAGACCTCAGTCTCTCTGTCGTCTCTCGAATGTCATGCCGCAGCCAAACACCACGTCGGTCGGTATCTTCGGCGTTTAGTACATGCACCAGCTGCAGAAACGCACAACACAGACACAGCCACCCTACGACGACGACGACACCCTCGATGCCCGTCGAATCCTCACCGGCAAACCCCCAAGTTGGCGAATCACAAAGCACCAATACATACATGACCACCCCAGGCCGCACCCCCCAATGCACCTCCACGGCTTGCCATCGCCAAAGAGACCCCAAAGTGCCATCTTGCACTTGTCAGTCTATCGGGTCCAAGGCTGCGTCTAGCTCTGCATCTAGGACAAAAAGAACTCTACCGGTTGCATCGCTGTGCCTCGACCGTTCCGTGGTCTGCGCTCGTTGGCCGTCGCAAGCTCGGAGCTTTGGCTTCTGACGATCGCCATGCCTGTTTCTGCTGTGGCGTCTGCCTTTATACCAATGGTGCTACCCAACAACCACACAAGGGAAGCATGGGCCATGGGAACTTTGCATAATATACTCCGGAGACACTGACACTCTCTTCCCCCAGACAACCGCCAATGGTCGTGCTGGTCTGGTCTGGGGTAGATGGAGTTTGACGCCGACACCGCGACCAAGACAGGCCATGCACCCCAGGATTTTGATCTGGCCATTCGGGTTGTGACTGTAGTAACCACTTGCTCGATATTGATATCGCGGGGAAACCAAGAGCATCTTACCCGCCCGTCCAGGGTCAACCTGGTGCGGCAGACGGCAGTCATGTCCATGGCTCGTCTACCAAAGTTCGCCATGCCAAGTGTTTCGCCCTTGCTAAGGATCTTCGCTGTGTTGGCCTACCGTCGACAAGATCGGCCCAATCTTTGCGGCTCCTATACCACCGTGGTCTGCTGCGTACACGCTTGCTACCCCGGCACGCCTAGCAAGCTTGCCATATCTGAGGATGGCCTGGCCGCCCCGCAGAACGCTAAATCATTACACACATAATCAACGTTACCTCGACGGCACGCAAAGAATACACCTTTCAAACGATGGTTTGCCAATCTGACCCTCCTTGCTCGCTGCTCGTTGCTGTCGAACTCTGGCTGGCAACGTCCTTGTGTTCTGGACTTGCGGGGTTTTCAGTTCGGTAGACTCCTCCCCTGCACTTTTCCCCAGACCTTCCGTCCAACGCTGACCCTGACCCTGGCACGCCTTGAGTCTGGAGATGCGGAGACGCGGCGATCGGTTTCGGACAACAAGCAAACTCATCTCACCGAAACGGACCTCTTATCTTTCTGTCTACCAACCGCATGTTGTACTTGCATTCATCATCACCAACAGATGGGCTGTTTGGCGAAGCTGATAGCGGCATAATATCTATTCGTAGACACACACAATGTCCCCCCATCCCAAGTCCGGAACGCACGTCTGCTGTCCTTCGTCACTCTCCCATGAACACCAGGGCGCATTACTGGGGCATTGGCTTGCAGGCAAAGGATTCCGACCCCCGGAGGGAGGCGCATAAGTCAAGACGCTGATTCACCCGGCAAACTCTGTTTTTCGCTTGCTCCCCACAGCCGTTTCTGTCATTCAGAAACACGTCGCTCTTCACATGGAAAAAAGACACCGTCCAGGAACTCAAAACTCTGTTCCCTCATCCGCCGTCCCAGCGGGATTTGATTTGAACAACGTTCAATATTGGACGGCCTGAACTATCTAGGCTCGGAAAACGACGACCCTGTGGAGTACGAAAGAGAGCCCACAGGCCCTTCGACGCCGAAGTATTGCTCAAATCCTCTTCTTGCCGGAGCCCCCGTACGTGGCAGGCAGAAAAGCTCTCCTGGCACTCGACAAGCTCGAGCGCGCAGTCAAGATGGACTCGCATTCCATCATCAGCCCAGCCACTGGCAACGGGTGTAGTTCCTCCTCGAGACACTGTAGCTTGTGATAGTCCAGCTCTCTCGGCTTCTCCAGTTTTTTTCTTTCTTTCTGATAAGGTAGCGTTACACTGCATCGAACGCCCCCCTCTCGGACAAGAAGGGCAAGGAGTCCAAGGACAAGGGCAGAGGAAGACAAGGGCGGTGCTAGTGCTTTGCCGCTAGCTTCCGGCATGTGAAAGAGACCAAACAAAGTCTCGATCCGACCTGACTGCACGACCGTCGACTGCACCCCTACTCCGTACTGTACTCTTTTCGCTTTCTCTCCGGTGTGGTTCAGACCCCCCTCCGTGCTGGCACACGCCAGGGAGCCACCAATCTCTAGGTTTGAAGGCTCGCTCCCGGCTCCCCTTCGTCTCATCCCAATTCTCTCGAGCATACCTCTCCCGTCCGCCATGTCTCTGAAGTTTTGACTTTTAGTGTGCACCAAATCTTCCTACACAATACCTGACATTCCGTTGCCGCATCGTACAAAACCGCTGGGTCTCCATCCACACAACTTTGCCTCGTTTCCCACTCCGTTTGTGTTTTCAAGTGTTGAAGGAAAGGGAATTGTTGACAGTGGGCTGGGTATTACAACGTTATCGAACGATCGGACCACCGACCGAACGACAGTGACCGGATCGTACGACTCAGTCACCGGGACGTACTGGTCACACCTGGAACCACCCTTTTGCTTCACCGAGAGATAAACCACGCACCGGCCAATTTTCGAGGAAGTCGAGGAGATGTTGTAAAGTAAGGGCTAATCGAGATATCGATCATCACGACCTTCAAGTATCTACGGCTTTTACGCCAGTCAACCGCAACCATGGCTCTCATCAATCCTGTCTACGCCATCATCGTCCCCTTTCTCTTCCTCTTCACCATACCGCTAGCGATCTTTGCCGGTATTACAACAACACTCGCCTTTACCGTACTCATATTCCGAGTCATTCTCGTCTACTTTGACCTCGCCATATCTCTACTTCCATCGTACATTACCGGACGCCCTAGGTATCTTTCTTATGCCACCAAGGCACCGTTGTCCGGTAGCCCGTCACCGTCGCTAACGCCCACACGGCGTTCTGCCTCGCGTCGCACAAGACGACCGTCTTCTGCCTCCGCCGTCTCCGTCGGCACAATAACACCCATCTCGGAGTCAGGCGGCATCGGCCTATTCCCCTCTGTCGGTATCGACCGTGACTACGAGGGTCTTGGTGGCTGGCGGTTAGGGAATGGAAATGACGATGAGTTGTGGATGACCATCAACTCGCGCCTCGAGCTGCCCGATCGTCAGTACCAAAGACACCATCACAGGAGTCCCAGTGGTGGACCTACCACTCCAGGTGGCGGCGACGGCTACCTCATGATGAAGGGAGGACGCAACCGGAGTCCAGAAAGCAACCGAGGCGGATACACTGCGATTGTGTCGCCCAACAGCTCAAGAGCAAGGACACCGACCAACACGCATATCGCCTTCACAGCACTCGACGGTGTCGATGGCGACTACTTTCCATCCTTATCAACCAAGTCTGTAAGAAAGGTTGCCGTGGCGTGAGAGGAATGACACTTGCGGGCGGATGACGAAAAGTTACCTATAATGGATGTGGAAAGAGAAAATAATGGTTTATATCGACTCTCCCGCCACGAAGTTGACGGAAAAAGGACGCCCTTGAAAGTAGGCGGTGTAAGAGAGCTGTGTGAATCATTTTCCTTTGTCTAAAGCCGGTATACAGGGCATGGTTTGAGCTCCTAAATCGGGCAATGGGAGGATGGTCAGGTACTGTCGGATATCCTCTATGACGGGACAGTCTCAGGCAAGGAATGGAAACTTTGGCCCGGCGAGGCCACGAACGGACAGGATCATGGACAATTGGAAATCAGTAGGCGTTTGGCTGTATCACATCTCAATCACAGTCCAAGCGGACGATCATTGAATCAACGATTGAGAATTATCCACTCCAATTCCTCGCATCGTGTTTTCGGATAAGATGAAATTGGATCGGGGCGCGAGTATCGGGCATGCCATGAGCACCGTGCCGTTGAATCATGTTTGTTGAACCGTGTGATTTCTATTGAAAGCCATATCCCGTCCAGCCCGATCTTTTGCGCCTCCAAGGCCGGGGAGAAAACGCCACATCTTCTTTAATGTCATCATTGTGTGAGAGGAAATGCCGTGATCTTCGGAGAGATATGACATGTTTACACCACGTCGGATCGTGAAGAAAAAGTGTCCATTCAAGACGTGGTATCCTATCGTGAGTCCTCCAAACGCCGTCATCAAACCCAAAACAGCAGCAAAACAACCCACCTCCCCTCCCCTAATCCCCGTTTATAAAGTCTGCCAAAAGTAATTGGCATAAAAAAACTTTGAAAACTTTTTATCCATATTCACGACATGCACATCCCCCTTGCGATCATTCCTCACAACAGCGCGCGTAAACTCGCCCGTACCATCCTTGCCGTCACGCTCAATCTCGATGCCCAGGCTGCGGTATACTTTCAGCCGCAGCAGCACCTCGTCGTCGACGGGGTCGCGGCGGCGCGCCTGCTCGTCGGCGGAGCCGTCGAGCCCTTGGATCTCGAGCTCTTGCAGGCGGGCGTGGAGGTCGGCTGCTTGTTGGGCCAGGCGCTCTGCTTCCATTTCTGCGTCCGAGGCTGCCTTTGCGGTGCGGAATTTTGTGGTGTCGAGGCGGGCTATTTCGGAGGCGTGGGCGGTGGAGGAGTGGGTTGAGGTTAGTTCTGCGTGTTGGGATGTCATTGTGTTTAGTTGGCGGGAGAGTTCTAGGAGGAATGTTAGTTTGGGTTTCGTGGTTTGATACGGTTTGGGGATGTATGTGGTCTTGTTGGGGGTAGGATATGTCACGACTTATCGTGTGCGTGTGTTCTGGAGGAGAAGATGAAGGATGGTGACGGGGACGTACTCTTGAGGGCATTCTCTGCCTCGCGGAGGCGTAGCTCGCGGGCCTGCTGGAGGGTGGAGAGGGATTCATTGATGCGGGCGATGGCTTGTCTGTCTGGTTGGATGTTGAAATTGTCGATTGTGTGCGAGATGAGCTGTTGGCGCGAAGGATGTCACTTGTTAGCGACCGCTTTCCCAATAGACAGTAGATGCTGTCAACAATGCGAGATGATGGGAATGGATGGGGCACATACCGTCGCGGGCTCCTCTGCTAAAAGCATCTTGTCTGAGTCTTCTGTGTAGTCTCGGTGGAAGATTATGTATGTGAATAGATTGATGTGCGTATGCGCGGTGATAGAGTCGTGATGTCGCGTTGCTTTTTTCGTGGTAGTGTGGGTGTCGTTAATTGATTGACTTGGGTTGATAGGTAGATGCGACTAGAAACCGTGTAGGTGGGATAATGCGAGGCAAAATGACCAGCCCAAACCCAATACGGAAATCCCCCAAACAAAAACTATCTGCCATGCTTATCTTATCGCAAGGCATCACCCGGACGACAATCGGTGATGACTAAGTCACCCTCATTTACTGACCCCGGTCACAGACTCAACAGCCCCACCTCAGCTGTCTCCAAAAATCGTCACTCGCCACACATGACGCCGCCATCGTCGCTGGCCCCTCGGGTGGCCCGCACTCCCCAATCGTAGAGTCCCCACGGATCTTCAAATGTCAGAGCTTCAGCCACTCTTCCCGTTCTTGTTCTCCCCAGCTGTAGCCGCACCTTTTTCTCGATCCTGCATTCAGCATCTTGAACGCTTTGGCATCCTCAGCCCTGTCATACCTTGAATTGTGCCAGCTGTTTTCGAGCTACGCACGATCAAAACTCTCGATACCCACATTGCGAAATTTCACCAGACATTTCGCCTCGTCGTACGATCGTCAAAACAAAATAAAATACACACGAACACCTTCCATAGCCACGAATCAACCGCATCATCGCAACCATGGTCGATCTACCTTGTGAGTCGCCCTCTCCACCCCGCCTCTACCAAATACTGCAACACGATGTCGCTGTAAAGATTCGCGAAGAAGCCACATGACTGACCATCTGCGCAGACGCCCTCGACGCGGAAACGTATGTTCCTACCCTCGTCCTGCTCCTCATCCTCAAGATGCCCTCCGTCCCCGCGACACCCGATCATGCAACGGCATCATAAACTAACAAAAGCCCCTCTCGCACCGCAGGCCCCTCAAGGCATCCGAGCTCCAGGTCCTCCGCGCCCAGTATGAAAAGGAAGGCGACATGGTCGGCGTCCAAACCAAGTTCAACTACGCATGGGTAAGACAAACCTCTCCTTCCCCCCGTCTTCCGCATTTCCTGAACATTTTCTGACCTCGTACACCTCGCAGGGCCTCGTAAAATCAGACTCCCGCAACGACCAACAACTAGGTGTTCGCCTCCTCTCCGAAATCTTCCGCGTCTCCCCCGAGCGCCGCCGCGAGTGCCTCTTCTACCTCGCCCTGGGCAACTTCAAGCTCGGAAACTACGGCGAAGCCCGCCGCTACAACGACCTCCTCCTCGAAAAGGAACCCGCCAACCTCCAGGCCTCGAACCTGCGCCAGCTCGTCGACGATAAGGTCGCCAAGGAAGGCCTCATGGGCGTCGCGATTATTAGCGGTGTGGCTGTTGCGGCGGGTGTGGTGGGTGCGTTTTTGGTAAGGAATGTGAAGAGGAGATAGATGTGTTGTGTTGGTGGGTTGGTGAGTAGCATTGTCGAGGTGTCTTCATGAAATGAGGGACAGGAGCATGTGAGATGAAGGCAATGATGAAAAGGAGCGACTGCATTCGAAAGGGGCGGAGGGGAAGGTGAAGCAGGACACAACATACGACTACGGCTACGGGCCGCATCATGTGTTGCATGTGTTGAGCCCTTTTGCTTCTTCCCTTTGCCCTTTCAAGTACCTGGTAATGTGTATTTGTATGGAAGTAACGACGGCTATTTGTTTGAACCGGTGTACGGGGCGTATACACATCTCTATTCTACCTCCAGAATCTTTTTGCAACAGAAACGTACGCAACTCTCTTCTACCTGTGGTTAAATGTCATCATGTGCTATAACGGTGATCCCTAGAGAGTCTAGGGAAGGATGGCCTTCCGTAGGGTGGTGTGAGGTCTGGTTTGGTGATTTATTCTCCATGGTCATCACTGTTATTAACTTGGATCTTAACATCGCTGCAAGCCGCCCACTCTAGAACAAACCAACACATATGCACTTCATATTGGGACAAGGACTTCAGATTATCATGCCTTGACTGCAGTACGGTGATTTTATCCTGCCTAACCCTCGCCACCAAATGGAGGATGCCTGTCTGTTTTCCTGTGACAAGGTCCCAAATATTTACAGAAGACGCCCTGCGGGCCATAACAGTCTGACCCACGGCGGCGTGGTCGAGCTCAAAATAAGTAACGGTCTCAATGACCAATGCTAAACGCCGTCGACCCTCGTCGTAATTCGTGATATACCTCCCGGCTACTTTGAAGCCGCGTGGCTCGCTCAAATCTTTCATTGGCAAACCACCCAGATCTGATCCATTCCATTAATCAATCCCACGAGCTCACTGTCTCCGTCTCTCGCGCGGGTCACCGTCTCCCGATCCCGATCCTCGAGAAAACTGGTTTCTCAGCCAATTAAGCGGGCCATGGTTGGATCCGGCGTCCTGGTTGTTGTCCTGGTTGCTCTCCTGGCCTCTGTCCCAATTACCAGACGAGGGACTCCGCTGCCTAGCTCGGAACACATCGGACTGGTGTCGGCGAAGGCTGGGAGGCGAATGAGAGTCTCGTCTAGCCGATCGGAAGCTAGGCATTCGACTCGTCTCCTGTGGACGTTGCGGATCACTGCGGCCGGTGCTTGAGACCCCGTAGCGTCCGTAGAGGTCATCGACGAATGATGACTGGGGTCTCGTGGAGTCAGCCGGTACCGGAGGGGTTGCGTCCGTATAACCCGATCGAGGGGGCACTGCTCTCATTGAGTTTGCCCAGTGACCCGGGTCACTACCGGGCCAGTACTGGGGTGGTTGATGGCTGTCTGGCGAGCCAAACGCTCCTGCGGCTCCAGAGCGGGGTTGCGAAGGGTTGTTATCGTTTCCGGCGTTGTTTGAACCGCTCGCATTGGCGTTGCTGTCATTGTTGTTGCTGCTACTGCTGGGCTCTTCGATTGGCGTACGGCAGATCGGGCAAGTGTTGTGCTCCTTCAACCACATGACGACGCACTGGTCGTGGAACCAATGCTTACAGGGCAGCACCGTGGCATCATCGCCCACATTGAAATCATCAATGCAAATTGTGCATTCGGCCTTGCCCTCGTAGCCAAGCATTTCCTTGTCGACTTTTTTACGCTGGAGCTTGCTGAGAGCGTCTTCGGTCGCGGGGGGTGCCGCATTGGATGCCGGGTTCTGCTCCATCAACTGAGAGATGATGCGGTCCAGGGCCTCCTGGGTGTACACAGCATCGCCGTGGGAGGCGTTGGCCGGATTGAGCATGTTGAGAATCTCATGAAGAAGTGTAGGCGCTCCACCGGGCGAGCGCTGTTCCTGGCCTAGTCCTCCACCGGCCGGTTGAGGGGGTCCTGCTCCAGCTAGGACGCTGCTGAAGATACTAGGAAGTTGGTCAGCATTCGCTCTAATGGAAACGACTGTGATTCGAGGTCCAGAGGGTGGCTGGCCGCGAGGGGCAAGGCCAACGTACGACTGGAAGGGGTCGCCTCCAGCCCCGGCAGGCGAGTTGGCTCCTCCCTGGTGAACGTGGATAGGCCCAGTGGCGATGGTGAAGCTCGTGGTGCCTCCCGGGCCTGTTCTCTGGAATGTGCGAACATTGCCCTGGCCGCCAAAGAGGTTTCCTCCACCAGCGCCAAAGCCAGCAGGGCGAGTCTCGTCGGGAGGCCTTGGTGGCATGCCCATGCCGAAGTCATTCACCATATCGATGAAGCGTCGAATGATCTGGTCGCCGTCGTTGACATCGGGGGGTTGACGCGTGTTTGGGTTAGGGCTCTGTCCCTGGCGCTGAGAATTATCCCATATTGCTCGGTGTACAACGAATCCACCTGGGCCGCGATGCAGATGCTCCTCTATATCGGCCTCTTCAGGATCCGAATCGTCGTCGTAGATGTGGCGTCTGAGTCGTGGGGAATCGTGCAGCGGAGGACCGTCCTCGATCTCTCTTGGGTCGTTCTCGGGAGAAACCTGGGAGTATGTCAGCAAATGTGGCAGGAGGGGGGTAGAGGCCATGTATCGTACAATCTCTGTAATCTCGCTTTCGCAGCGAGGGCACTGTAGACCATGCTCATCTTGCCACCACTCATGGGTGCAGGCGTGACAGTAAACCACCTCTCGGCCATCCGTGGCAACCAGGTGCCCGCCTCTTGAAGCGTGAGAGTCCATCTCGGACTGGTTGCTATTGTAGGCAGCGAGGGCTGTTAGACCAAGGCCAACAGCGAGGCCGGCAGCGCGCAAAGCTCTGAACGCCAGACTGAATGATTTAGAAAGTCGTTTTGGGGTGGCGCAAGCTTGGGTATGGGCAAGAGTCGCGCTGTAGTAGAGTGACTGGCGCTGAAGCTCTTGCGCACCTCCGACTGTTTATTGACGGCAGCCTGAGACCAGGGACAATGTGAGAAGAAGGCTTTTGAGAAAATGCCCGAAGCTGGAGCAGGCGCAATCCAAGGTTGGTATTGGTGCAGAGCGCAGAATGTCAGCCGAAGTGATGTTGGGGTCGTTATCGGTGGAGAACGGAAGGTGCGGTAGGACAGCGTTGTATTCTTAGGTCGGTAAGTACCTGGAAGGCGGGAGCAGCGCTGGATATGGAAAGCCTGGTGTGAACAAGGTCAGTACCACAGCCTACTTGAAATCATGTAAAAATAACCAAAAGTCTTAACCAGCAGAGAGCAGGTGTGAGAAGTGCGCGCTCTAGATTCTGTCTTTGGCATGTAATTCGTGCCTGTGACCGGCTTCCGCTTTGGGTGTGGTGGGAGATGGAGCTGGAGAAACCAGAAAGACGTACCTGAGCTAAGCCAGATAATGGAGCATGTGCATATCTCCAAAAATCACGAAAGTGAACGGAGGAATGACCGATTGCTGCAGCTGCTGCAGAGAAAACTACGAGGAGAAAAAGAAAAAGGCAAAAGGAAAGGCGGTAGGGGAGAAATGTGAGGGTGTTGGGTGAGGTTGTTGGGGTCACAAAAAAGAGGCACTGCTCAAGCTCGGGATGATGCAGTGGACAGCGACCGCCGGAAGGTGTGTGCAGGCGAAGAAACAGAGTGGAAGCGCACCCGTCACGTTGGTCCCTCAGCGCTGTGTTGCTTGGACCGGGGGGAGGTATCTTCCCTCGCTTGTGCTTCCTTCCCTCTTTATCGGCGAAGACGTGACGTGACGTTTGTACCTTAGTGGGGGGTTGATTTCCGGCTTAGTAATCATAGAGTGTATCATGCCGAACACCGCCACAACAACCGCATTAAGGTGGATTCTCCACCTTTAAGCACCTCTCACCTTCCACTGGCTTCGGTGTGGCGGTGCGTCGCCTTTCACCACCACATTGCATCACCACCTCTCATCAAGTCTTGTGATATTCCCCCTCAAGCTATGGCCCCCAATCAAAGGTGGACTTCCGTGTCCAAATACTCGTACCACATGCCTTATGGACACTGTTCCAGCTGAAAAAGTGTGGCTTGGGAAGACTGTGCAGAACCTTGAACTGCCTTGGAATGACCGATTCATCCTTGCCCGGGAATCTCAGGTTGTCTTTGTTCAATAATCAACGATTCCTGGTAGGGGGCCTATTCTCCTATAGCATCAAGTCTCCTAGGACTCTCCATCTCTATAGCTTCTCAGTCTCGCTTGTGCGAGAGCATAGCTGGACGCCTGCTTATCTAAAGTCTCCGATGGAGTCATCTCATTCATGAGGTTGACAACGTCGTGGTGCTTTCGGCTCTTGGCCAAACGCCGACTAGTTTGCCCGCTCGTATCCCGCATATCCGGATCTGCCCCGGCCTTGACCAACAACATAGCAGCCTCGACATTATCCCTCCAGAGCGCCACAAACAGCGGGGGCGAAGAGAACCGCCCACCTCTCTTATTGACGTCGATGTTGTACTCTGGTCTCAGTATCAACTGCAGGACGGATATCATATTGAACGACGCGGCGTAGTAGAGCGGCTCCGTGTCCCAGATGGCGTCTAGATCCGCCGTGCGCAGCACGAACTGCACCCACGCCTCAAAGGGCCCGCCGTGAGACTGCTTCTTGGTGTCGAAGAAGTCCAGAATGAGCTTCTCATCCTCGTCCGCGAGGGGGAAGCGCTCGGAGTGGATGGGCCACATGTCTGTGGCGTAGTTGAGGAGCGGATACGCTGCGAATCTGGCGTCTATGAACCGTTTCTTGCTCACGGGTCCCGAAGCAAAACGCTTGAGTTTGAGGTAGGTGAGGCACTTGCGCATGATTCTTTGGTGGCAGGCGTCTGCGTCTAGCGCATACTCTGAGGCACTCGAGGTTTGTATCCATTCTGATTGCAAGAAGGTGCGGATAGAGTCGTGAGCGAGCGTGACGTAGTGGTCTCTTGCGTGGGCTAGATCCTGGCAGATTTCGAGAATGACAGAGGGGTCGGTGAGTCGGCTATCGTCGTCCATGTCCACGTCGTCATCTTCGAGGACGATGGCTTCGGCGAGCTCCTTGAGGCGGAGAGGTCGGAGAGAGAAGCATAGCCAGGCGAGAGCCTCGCGAGCGATGGTCCGGTCTTGTTCCGGTACACGTGTGAGGATGCCGGCGTAGAAGCCGTTGAGTGTGGACGGGATATCGACCAGAACTCGTCGCACATCTCTTCCGGTACGAAGCGTGCTAAGCCTATCCATGCACAATTTGGCCCATCGGAACCTGCAGCATTGTAAGTACTTGATCGTGTGGGAGTATGCTCAGGATACTCACGTCCCGTCCGCTTCTGACACGACTTTTTCTTTGATCTCGCCTCGGATCTTGTCGCTCAAGGACTGGAAGCTGTGCTCGGTCGAAAGCCGGTTCTCCACATACACCTCAATATCACTGTCAATGGACCGTGTACTCATATGCCGAACGTAGATGCTAGGATCAGGCTGCACCGGTTCTCGCGTACACGTAACCAACACCCGTAGGTTGGGGTGCTTCGAGCAGAGGTGCAGAAGGGCCTGGACAATGACAGATTCGTGGCTAGTCTCGTTGAGAGCGTCAATCATGAGATAAAAGACATCATATAGCTCGAGAGCTTCACCCAGGACTTCGTAGATCTGCTCTACAGTCAAGTTGTTCTGCGGAATTAGAGAGTTCCCAGATTTTCTCAGCGGCCGGACATGGTCGAGGATACCTGGGTTCGTCGTCCCTATCTGGGCCAGAATGGAGCCAAAGACATTCGGAACCGCTTGGGATGCCGCATCATCCAAGGAGCAGCAGTGGAAACCAACGCCTATGTTGTCGCTCTCATCTGTGACCTCGTCGCCGGGATGTGTTCTCAGGTCTTCGACGAGTTGTGAGCTTGTATCGGTTAGTACCGCAAGAAGAGCTTCAGAGTCAGGAATGTCCTTACAAAAGCACTGTTTTACCTGATCCCGCTGTTCGATGCGTTAGTCAGATTTCACGCAGGCTACAGATAAGGCTGAATTGACTTACACCGTCCAGTGATCCAGAAGACTGGCCGCTTCGTCTTACTTGTCCTTTGCCATTCCAGGAAATTAATATCGAGTATCCATCTACCTGTCCCAGGCGCACGATCTTGCCTAGAACTGACAAGCTTGTTCTCACTGTCGACGGGCGAAAGCCACTTGAGCAAATCAGCCGTCTCCTCAAGCATCTGATCCGTCTTGCGCGCAAGAATGTCTTCATGCACAAGCGCTGTCAGCTTCTGCATCTCAGAAAGCACAGACGCGGTAGTATCAAGAGAGTCCCTCATAAGAACCATGATAAACCACGTCTTGGCCCTCTCGATGGTAGCAAAATACGTCTCAATATCACCCTGCCGAAAAGGCCAGGCCAACCCCTGGACCGCGCGACCTAGTGATGACGTCTTTGGCGTGCCGAGCTTCTTCCGTATGGCGTCGAGGGTCTCCTGGGTCATCTTGAGCATGGCGCGGGCCTGCTCATGTAGAGGATTATCCGGACTACGCTCATTTTGGACGTGGAAGTGGTCCATTGCGCCTTTGAGGGCGAGGAGCTCCTGGGTGAGTTTGCGGATGTCATCTTTGGCGGTTTTAACTGCTGAGACGTATTTGCAGAGGCGTTCGACTACTTCGGTGATGCAGAGGGCGACCTCTATTATGGTAAGGGCTTCGGCCATCGGGTCGCCGCATTTGCACTTTGATGTAAGCTACGATTTAGTTATGGCGTTTGCGGGCAGTGGCCATAGCTCCAGGCCAATGTTTCTCGAGTTCCGTTTGGGCAAAAAACCACCAATGCGTGACTCCTTATGGTAGTGGATGACTGGGGCGCTTAGAAGGTTTCTCGATAGGATATCTTAGAACCAGTTCCAAGATCAAAGAACTTGATAAAACGGAGCCGATTGAAGAACGTCAGAGCCGGAAGCCTGGTGGGTACTCAGACCAAAGTACGGAGTATCGGGAGTAGGTTCTTCAACATTGAGGGCCGTTCCGTGGCCGGGGATGCCCCGCACGCACAGATCAGTCTCCAAGGTGGAGGGAGAGGTTTAGTGGGTCTCTATGGCACGTGCACAGATTTAGCGAGACTTTAAATTTCATGCGCTAGCTGATCTCTGCAAGGAGAAGAGAAGAACACCATGTCCTTCAGCTGCTTCGTCAAGAATATCTGTATTGAATGACCTGCCATGGATGTGTTCGAATATTCTCTTAATCTCAAGGTTTGCTTGACTTTAATGACATCATTACACCGAAGACTGGTCTCATTGTATAATTGAGAATTGTGTCCTTCGGATGGAATAGTGAGTGACAATCAATGATTCTCATCTCCACGGTTCATCTAGAACACTTGAAGATGAACACTTTGAGACCTAGAGCACCTCTTTTCACAGGATTCATATGAACATATAATGGGAAAACTCCTTCCATCTTGCAATAAGTCTTTACCCGCCTTCAGCTTAGGTTCATAGAATTTAGTAAGTGGTTGTTGCTGCTATAAATACCTACACTACAGGCTACCTACCTTACCATACGTCTAGACTCTAGGTACTAGACTCTAGGGGAAGCCCCACTATGCCAGTCGCCGTACAGAACGACTAGGATGTTCCCTTCCTCCCGGCTCGCCTCCCAATTCGTGGAGTGACGGGCCGCGGAGGTGTTCAAGTCGCTCCAGTGCGTCTTGTCAGCAAAACTCTTTTCCAGGTTTTTCTCAATTGCTCACTTTCTAGAGCTACAGGCACGAAGAAGAGAGTTACCAGCTGGGCCCTGCTGAGACAATCAATAAGTACCACAGGCAAACGAAAAGGCAGGCATTCTCTTTTACTCGGCAACTTACACTACACCGGCGGCCTCACGCAGCAACCCGGGATCTGATTCCACATTGTACCGGAACAAACGTGCCTAGGCCGGATCTACCTCTCCACCACCATAATCGTCTATCGGCTCGCCGCACCCCAAGTTAGCCCCAGCCAACCTCTGTGTATTCCGGTCACAGCCGTCGAGTCAAACGACTTGGATTTCTCATCACGCTTTCCAGAGACTCGGGACAACAACAGAAGCTGTGGTGCTCCTCCCACCAGCGCCGGCGTGAACTTACTCATCCGTTTCGGCCCCTCTCGAGCCGTCCAATTGCCCCTCCCTGACTCTTCAGCGTTCCTTAACGCGTTGAGGCTTGTAGACAGCACCTCACTTCACGCATAAGCCGCCTCAAGCCAAGTGTTATCTGGTACGTAATATGCAAGTAGCCAATGCACATATGCAATGCTGTCATTAGTCTCCCCGAACAGCCCGCGACTGAGATACGCTCAAGTCACCCTTACTCCAAGACATGTGCCTAGTTCCTTACCCAACCATTATTCTCATTCGTCCTCTCATTGAATGAGAGAACTCTCACATTCTGATGACTGTGTACCAGACATCTCATAAATCCTTCATAATCACCGACCCAAGGCTGACCCGAGGCTGCGATATCGTGAAGAGCACACATCTACTCAACGACGACTGAGATAGTGGCAGTCCACCAGTCTTGAAGTATATCGTCATCGAAGCCAAGCCGCCATTCTCGACTCCCTTGGGTCGTTATCAGACGTCGCGCCAACCCGCATGCTCTGCACGCCCAATCGCCTGCCGCTTCTTTATCTCAACGACAGGGTACCTTCAACATCAACGGAGGAGTGAGACGCCCGCAGCCCGCGAACCACCCCTCCACACTCCCCTTTCTCCCCCTCTCCACGGTTGTCGCTCCCGTCCCCGCGGTCACCCCTCTATCGGCATCGGCTACCGCTGTGTTGCAGCCTTTGATTCTTGTTGCTCCCGGTGGGGACCCTGGGCTGTCATTTCAGTTTGCTGCCGCCGTCGCATCCATCCCGTCCGGGGACTTGCTGTCCCCATCAGATTTCCACATCTCCGCGCACCGCATCAAAGTTGAACTCAGCATCTCCGGTCGCTCACCCCTTTCCGGTGCGTCGCCATCATCTGATTAGTCGGAACTCGGCAGCCAGAGACGTGTCTTGAATAGAATATGGACGATCAAGATCTTCTCCTGTCTTCCACATCCGGCGGCTCCCTAACCAATCCCCCGGAACAGCCATCATCGTCGTCGGCCGCACCACAACCACCGGCGATCAAGAAGAAGTCGTCGCGCAGAGGAGGCGACTCGGCGTCACAGAGGCGGCGCTGCGTGAGCACAGCATGTATAGCCTGCCGTCGGAGGAAATCGAAATGCGACGGAGCCGTGCCCAGCTGCGCTGCGTGCGCCAGCGTCTATGGTACCGAGTGCGTCTATGACCCGAACTCGGACCACCGCCGCAAGGGCGTCTACAAGGAAAAGGTCGATAGCATGAAGGCGCGCAACTCAACACTACAAATTCTCATCGAGGCTATCCTCAACGCCAACGAGGATGAGGTTCCTAACATTGTGAAGAGAATCAGGACCTGCGACAGCCTCGACACTGTCGCTGAACAGATCCTGAAGCATGAGACTATGCTACAGGAAGCCGAGGATAACGACAATGGAGACGACGGCTATACGATCGACATGCCTATCGAGGGTGAGAGGGAACTCGCTCGCAAGATGGGCGAGCTACGCCTCGAGAACGGCTCAGTACGCTTCATCGGCGGCACATCACATCTCATCTACCTCGGCGACTCAGGCGACGCCAACACAAACGAGCCCGAGTCCGACACGAACCTTGCTAATGAGGACCCCGTCACCAGCTGGACAAGAGTTACGCAAGATAAGGAACTCATCGCCCACCTCATGAACATGTACTTCAACTGGCACTACACATATTTCACAACACTATCAAAAACATTGTTCTACCGTGACTTCTTCAAGGGGAAGCACGGACTAAATTACAAAAGCACCATTTACTGCTCACCACTCCTAGTCAACGCCATGTTATCTCTCGGCTGCCACTTCACAAGCGTGCCGGGGGCGTACGGGATATCGGGGGACAGCCGTACAAAGGGCGACCACTTCTTCGCCGAGGCGAAGCGCCTCATTGTCGATAACGACGAGTACGAGCGGCCCAAACTCACCACCGTCCAAGCCCTGGCACTCATGTCCGTCCGGGAGGCCGGCTGCGGGCGGGAGGCGAAAGGATGGGTGTACTCGGGCATGGCCTTCCGCATGGCCCAGGACATTGGTCTCAACTTTGACGACGGCGGCATGTCCACGGACAAGGAGAATCTAGGCGAGCACGCTGTCGACGCGAGGCGGATGACGTTCTGGGGGTGCTTCTTGTTCGATAAGGCGTGGTCGAACTACCTGGGTCGCCTGCCGCAGATACCAAAGGGTTCGTACAACGTGCCCAAGTACGACGTCTTTCCCTCTGAGGATGCCGAGTTGTGGGCGCCTTATACGGATGCCGGGTTCGATCAGACGTGCAATCAGCCGTCGAGGACGCGAGCCGTGGGGTTGCAGCTCTCTAAGCTGTGTGAAATCAGCAGCGATCTGCTCTTGTTCTTTTATCACCCAAACCACATAGGACGCTCAAGTGGAAAATCTGTGGAACTTAAGAAGCTAAGTGAGCTTCATCGGAGGCTGGAGGACTGGCGAATGGAACTACCAAACGAACTGGAACCAAAGGAAGGTCAACTCCCCAACGTGATCCTCGTACAGTAAGTCCAACAACCACTCCCCTCAGCAAATCCATACTAACATCATCCCAGTATGTTCTTTCACCTCCAATACATCCACCTCTTCCGCCCCTTCCTAAAATACACACCCGCAGCCTCCCCTCTCCCATCCCACGTCTCCCCACGTCGCATCTGCACCGCCAACGCAGGCGCAATCTCCAAACTCATGCGCCTTTACAAGAAAACCTGGAACCTCCGACAAATCTGCAATATTGCCGTCTACATGGTCCACAGCGCCTGCACGATCCACATGCTCAACCTCCCCGAGAAGACAGCCAAGCGCGACATCATCCATGGCGTCAAACACCTCGAGGAAATCGCCGAAGACTGGCTCTGCGCGCGCCGCACGCTGAGCATCATCAGCGTGCTGGCGCGCAAGTGGAACGTTGAGCTGCCCGAGGAGGCCGAGGCCGTGTTGAGGAGGTCGGATGAGACGTATGGCACGTTTAGTACGTCGGATGTGCCGTCGCCGAGGTCGAATCTTACTGTTGGGTCGTCGCCTTCGCCTACGCAGGTTCCTGTTTCGCCGGTGGTGGGGAAGAGTGATCAGTATAGTCCGCTTAATCAGTTTGCGCAACCGCAGACTGGTGAGCAGGATGCGGCGCCTAGTCCGACGGATCTGCTGATGGCGAGCGCTTCTCTCGCGCAAATTAGTGGTGCGAGGCCGCCCTCTCATCAACCTCTCAACGGGTTGGGCATGGGGCCAAGTTCCCTAGGCGGCTGGTCCCAACGCGGCCTCGCCCAGTCAATACCAACATACCAGCAGCAACAACAACGGTTCACCCCAATGAACAATAACCTTGCGCCATCACAGAGTTCCCGCGCCGGTCCCGGTAGCACGCGACAGCAACTTTCACACGGCCAAGTCTTCCAGGGCCTGGATCAGGACTGGTTCCTCAACGATGGCGCCAAGTGGCACCAGAACTTTGAGGCGTGGAATATGGCTGCATCTCAACCCGGCGGCGGCGGGGGGATGCCGGCGAACGATCAGATGTTTATGTTTTCGAGCGGGAATGGAGGCATGCAGCCGCCACCACAGCCACAGCCGCCAAGGCAATCGTCTGAAGATACATCGAGTCCTAATTTTGAGAGTTTGAATTCGTTGGATACTTCTCATGGGTGGTTACCAGGGTTGGATTAACTGTGTTAGGTATTGCTTCCCTCTGGTGAGAGGTTTCATGTGAAGACGAATCGAAAGGAAATGATCGAATGCAAATGCAAAAGCCATTGGCGATGCTTTACACGCCCGCCATCTTTCCGCAAACCTAATTAGTAGCATTTGATAATGATCTGCGGTTCAGTCAAGATATCTCTCTTCTGTGGGCATTTTAAGTACTTATTGAGCTACAGAGCTTTCCAGTGAGAAGCGTGATCTTGAAATATTGAGGAGTAGGTAGAGAATACATTGTGGCAGGTTGTATGTGCCGTGCAAATGGCCCCTCCACCTATTTCCAAGGTACTTCGGAGTAGTCGATGGGTTACACCCGATTCCTCCTTCGTCCACATCCCAATTCACGCACTTCAATGTGACATAGTATTGAGCTATTAACAGTCAAAGGGCGTTGCCCTGCTGACGTGTATATCAACAATAGCTTCACTCCCTCCACTGGGAATGTATGTCCCTGTCCGCTCTGGTAATTCTAAGGAGGCTAAGAACGATGTGGAGCAGGACGTACGCAGAGTAACCGCCTAAAGTAATCCATAACGAGGTTGGTGACCACCTGAAGTATACTTTCTCGTCATCCACAATCCGTTTATCATCCAGGAGAAATTCGCCACCAGGGCCTTCTGATAGACGCACCTACAAGTTCAGATCGCGCAAATGAACCGGCAAACTTGTTCGATCATGAGTCATGCTGGAGATCACCATTAGTGGCACATGCAGCATTCTTCTCTGCTTTTTTTGCTTTAATGTTCATCATCGTACAATTTATATCATCTTCGGTATCGGCGAACGATTACCCAGAAGCCGTTTCCGTTCTTCTCCAAAAGACTCTTTTCTGGATAGCAATTTACCAGCCAATAACGATGTTTCTTTTTATTCTTAATGGAATCGAGCTAGAGAACCTTGATCAGGAATGGGTACACGGGAGGCTTTTCTCTTGGTTGTCATTTTTCTATTGTGCAGCATCCTTCACCGCAATAGGGTTCTTGAAGGAGTCTGGGTTGTCTAACATGCCAGGAATTAGTCTACTATTCGCAAAGTATGTATGTGATGACTATCGCCCTTCTTCATGTCGATTTGGCGAACGAAAACATGTTTGATGATGCCTTGAGGGCACGGCGAAAGGGGTGCGATATGGTGTTGCAACTCTCGGCCCGAGGAAGTAGACTCACCAGAAGAAAAGAAACTTTCACAGATGGAGTAAACAGGGCTGGCAAATAATACAACGGCTGCGACTTGTCCGAATGTCCAGTTATTCTCGTCACCAGGGCTAAAACGCCGAATCGAGCGCAGCCGATCCGTTCCCCAACCTGCAGTTACGACTAACCAGAAAACCTGTGTGTCACTTAGTTTTGAGAACACATGTGCTATATCGAGTGCTGATTAAGGAGGAATGTATCACTTACCTCAGCAAGAAAGGAACTGAAGAGTTCTGAATTCAAACGACCAAGTATTCATAGCGCAGTGATTGGGCGGGAAATTAAGAATTTGTGAAGGTGTCTGCGGAAAGTGGTACGAAGCTCGAAGCCTCCTCCGTCTGAAAGACCTCTTGCCTTCTCTCGTACGATATCTCGAAAGTCACGAAACTTTCGGGACATCGCGAAGCTACTCTTAAGAAATCTCGATAAGAATCCCAGCAAGATCAGACAAGCAGACAAGACAGTGTCAATAAGAGGGTCCCATTGAATCCGGGGGGGGGGGGGCGAAACTTCCCATCACTGTACCAGAAGCAAATTACATGCGTGTTTGGCAAGGTTTTGGTATCACCGATGCCATCCTCAATCTCTGTGATCCTGGCTGGAAATCCGATCGCCATGGTGATGACCAGCATCAAAGCGACGGAAAAGATCAGCGGCGATCTCCATAATCTGCGGCTTTTGTGAATGTAATAATAGTTGCGAAGGTGGGATAATGCTCCGAGATGTGTGACTGCTGAAAACCAACTATGGAGTCGTACGAGTGAATAATAGGCCATCGATTATGTTCTGGCGCAGAAACTGACTCATACTATCCTACGGCGGCTCTGGGAGATGACTTACGCTATGTTGGTTATCATTAACCAATGATATCCAGACAGCGTTCTGAGTAACCCGTGGAAGCCGCTGATCAACACTCCCAATCCCATGACGATTTGCACATCGCTCATGAGAAGCACGCACTATTTTAGATGAGAAGTTAGAGCTAGCGTTGTACGGAGTAATTGCTAAGAGGTTTCCGATCCCGAGATCAGAGCTTCGGTGTCCGCCACAACACATACAGTTTCAGACGGCTTGTGCAAACGATCCCTTCTTCTTTGAAGATTAACGTCGGAGACGCCTAACCCACAAGCTGAAAGAGGTCGACATATGTACTTGAGAAAAACTCGTCTATTTTGTTCGGACTTTCAACTTGTCGATTGGGCTCGTTTGGAGGTCGATATGGGTCGAGTCGGGGACCATACACAAATATGTAATGCACGAGGAGGAGGAGAACGATGAGCCAGCCTGTGCCAACAAAGCCGACCAACACCTATCCCACAATCAGTCTCGTGGGTTTGGAAATGGGGAGTATCTACTTACTCCTGTACCGCTGATATCTGGATTCGCAGTGTCCTCGATCGCAGGATGTTGGCTGCAGAAAGCCGAAGTCGATAACCCAGCTAGATTAGAGATATCGAGCTCGGTAGGCGTGCAATGCTCGGTTGGCCGAGATTATTGAAGTGGCAGGAAATGAAACCATTGGGAGAGGGTGAGGGTGCGCAAGAGAAACAGAAGGAGCGAAGAACAAGGCGTGGTATTTATCAGTTCAAATGACCTGGGCAGTCACTGCCAGCCTGATCAGTGATTGCGCTACACCACCGCAGATGCATCAAAACTGGTCAGACGCGAGAGAGGTAGCCGTTGATTGGTTGAGCCCAGAGGCCCTGAAAAAGTAGCCTACCGAATAGCTCTGCCTGTACTACATTCGCGTACCGCATTTGGTGGGAATTTATATGCGAGGCTGGGATGTGAAAACAGGTGCTGGACATGGAAGCGTGGCCCGGGGGAGCTTGTCGAGCTGTGAGTAACTGCATTATATCGGGGAGAAGTTTTTGGTCTTCGGCCTGGATGTTTTGTTTCAGCTTCCTGGGAAGAGAGGGCACATGGTCATGGACAACCTTTCTTAGCATGTATCGAGAAAATACCAATGCTTTGAAGCGACTTGATGGCATGTTGTGGTGGTCGTTCAGGCTGTATATTGGGAAGTTGACTATTTCTAGCCCGATATAACTCCAATCTCAAGAAGTAAGCTTCCCGACATCTTTAATCATCACTGACATCCAAGGTGTTGATCATATCACTCAACTCGCAGACCACGCTCTCATACACTGCCTGCTGCAACCGAGGCTTCAATAAGTCGTCGCCGAACCCAAAATCACACTCCAGACACTTCCTGGTGAGGTCCCTATACTTCGGACCCAATGTAGGGACCTGTCGCGATAGCCTGCGAACGCTGAGAACGTCTTCCGGGGCTTCTAGGCTTGACCACCGTCCGATCTGAAGCAGAGTGATGCCGAGGCTCCAAAGCGTCAGGTTACGGATACCGTACTCCAACTTTGCGCGCTCGACAGCGGTCTCTACTTCTCCAGGGCTGCCGTCGCTGCTGTCCGGCATCGCTGTCGCCTCTATTCCGTCCATGCTCCGTGGTAGGTTTGCGGCGGATGACTGGACAAAGTCGAAGCCTAGATGGAGGGTCCGAAGGCACCTAGAAAAGTCCCCGCTCATCTGAAAAAAAGAGAGATCCCGCAGAGTGAAGTACTCTCTCAGCCATGGCGTGGAGTAGAACTTGAGAACCGCGCTCACCATGTCACGAGCCAGTTTGAGTTGGTCGATAATGGAAAGTGTAGACTCGGCGGGAGTCATCAACACGTCGTTCATGGACATCAGACCTTGAGAAATAGTCATCAATTGGCTGCGACTGTCCACGGATCCTGGGTAAATCGAATGCCGGAAGGGATCTTGTGATGAGCTGTCGATGTACCCTAGACATTGGTCGCTAAAGGCCTCTCCGGATGCAAAGTTGAAGACGCTGTTCAAGGCTGGGCATAGCCCCTCTGAGCACAAGTTGACTACGGAGTCTTTGTGATGTTGAACACCCCTCGTTACGTCAGACTCATCATCTTTGCAGGTCTCTTCTCGCACATCTTGCGAGAAGCGCACCTTTCTTCGTTTCTGTCGGGGATTTCCGTCTGGATCAGGTGCAACCGACGTAGGGTCTTCAGTTTCAGCGTCGATCCAGGTCCGTATCTGTGATCGTACTAGAATTCTAGCCAACCTTTCCGGTGCCAAAGTCCTATAATCTTTAGCACACTAAGGTACGCCGAAAATAAGAGCCTGGGACTCACCTATCAGCGTGCTCATGGCCCATGCAGGAGATAGCTACATGCATCTGAACATCGTCTTTGACTGTGGTGTCTAGGAATAGTCGAACAGTATGGCGCATGTCAAGTACCTCCGCGGAAGCACTCTTGGTCGACCAAGCTTGAGCAAGGGCTTCGTGAAAGGCTCTCGATGCCCTTCTGACTTGACTGATATGCCCATATTCTTGACTCAGTTTCCCGCGAGGTGGTTTTGTTGCTACGAGCTCATTTTGATGCCGCTTCAGCTCGCTCCTTTGCTCTCGGATACGTTTGAGGTCGTCGATGGACGCCCGCAGATCTTGGATGTGTTTCTCGAACTTGGACTCATCCAGTGTGATTTTCACTCGTCCGCGAAGGCGTCGCACTGCGTCTTTGAGACCTTCACCCTGTACTTATGATGGCAAGTCAGTCCTCTCGTCTAATGATGGGTTATGCCACTCTCCACTTGCCTGTCGGCATTCTGCCGTGAGCTCATCGAAGCAGCGAAACTCGTCCTGAAAGCTTTGCGCCGTGCACGCAATCTCTTCCATCACACCCTGGCAAACATCATAGTCCTTGCCTAGTGCTTTCTCCATCTCTTTCTCAATCTGACTGCTGTGCCATTGTTGTGTGTCCTCATTCCCGAGCATCAATGTGATTGTCTCTTCATCTTCAACGGTCCGTCGAAGCAGCAGGTGTATCTCATTCGTGAAGAAGCTCCATTGGCGGTCAACTTGCTTTTGGATGCGCCGGAGCTCTCGCGAGTAGTGGCGAAAGCTCTTCAATTTCTTGCGGACGACAGAGCATGCCTTCATTGCTCCACCGACCAACGGCAAGAGGCCCAAAGTCAAAGAAAATGGATCCATTGGCACAAACTGTCCAGAGGTCCCAGATCGTGATCCTCTCGTTTATATGAGGTTTTTTTCTCCCACTTCAAAATGGAAAAGATCAGGCTGTGGGCTCCAACATGGCATGTCAGGAGGTAAAAGCCGTTGGCTCATTGGTTGAAGCATCGGTGCGCCTCAACGACACAGGTTGGCGATTTTGCTGGAAATACCCCGCTCTAACCTGCCATTTTCACACTCACTCACTGCCTTCCCTCACAGCTATTGCTATCAGCCAGAAAAATGGACTCTCTGAAGACTGAAGAGACCATCGACACAAACTATCTTATCCGGTCGTTCCTTAGCGCGGCGACCGGGGAATCACCTCATGTGGGTGCTAGTCTCGTTGCACGCCTGACTGATGGAACGATCACTGTATTTCAGGACATCAACAAACTTTTGATAGACAGAGCCAAGGGAATTCCAGAGTCACATGCATACGCCATTAGTCTTGGAAGGAGCTCCGACAGGCTTCGGCTCTGGTCAGACGGATACGGAATTTCCAGCGGAGCCTCCGATGATATTTTCGAGCGATCTAGTCGGCTACGAGGTGCAACGCTTGAAATTCTATGTAGCATAGGATCAACTCTTACTGAGAGTAAGTCTGAAATCCACTGACGAGAATTTAGAGAAACTGAGTTTTCGTGATTTCATCGATGCTGATTATCAATTTCCAACATCCAGGGCTCATACCATCAGCATGGGTGACAATCCTTTTGGGAAAGACGCAACTTTCGGAGAGTGCTACAAATATGGTAGAACAGCTGCGGCAACTGATCCAAGAGGCCGAAGACGATCATCCAAAGAGCGAATCTTCGACTGGATCATCCGAGTATGATGATGACGATATCATGCAAATCACAGCAGATCTTGAAACAGACACACAAAGTTTGATGGACCTCGATGGCTTGTTCTCTGAACCCATCCTGGATGCCGGGGACAATAGGGAATCGATTGCATCGTCTTTGCACAAATGGGAACTGCATGAGCCTTATAAGCAACTCATCAGCAAGCGCTTTCCCAATGCAGATGACAATCTCATTATCAGTCTCGGAAAAGCCAACTATAATCGATTCTTGAGAGGACAAAAGCGGAGGAACAAAAGAGTTCGGGCACTGCTGAATGGATCTGACCTGTTGCATGAGATCAGAGATTCGGATGCTACCAGTTCTAAATTCCAAGATTCAGGCCTTGGATCATCCGTTCCTTCGTCTTACGCTGAGACAATCATGTCATACCACGGCGATAAAGGGTCTTCGGTTCGCTTACCACCCCTGCCCAAGTCGGCTATGAATGGTTCAAGTTTTCTCTGTATAGCATGTGGCAAACCCACTATCGCGCAAACTAAATCTGCATGGAAAAGGCACCTGTACAACGATTTGAAGCCTTGGCAATGCCTGGAGCCCTCATGTAGGCACAAAGGCATCTTCAGAACTCGTGGAGATTGGATCTCACATCTGTCCCTCGACCATTTTGGGCTTGACTCGCTCGATTGGAAAGAATCTGAGTGCCCATTGTGCCGAAAGAACACTGGTCGTGGCACGATCGCTATCCTCAATCACCTCGGGGGTCATCTTGAGGAGATCTCTCTCGCAGCTCTCCCGTCAAACCCCGATTCGGACACAGAGAGCCAGCCATCAGACACCAGTCAGCAAGAAGAAACTGTTGATCTTGAATCCGAGAAAACCAATGCAGCACAGGTCGGTGATGCAGGCTTTCCGCATACTGCAGATGATGGGCAAAGCTCTGAGCCGATTGCCACTCATCTCAGTTTCAATACTACTATACACTATATTAATGAATTCGTACTCCAAGAGCCTGAGCTTTACGACGAATTCAGACCACTGATTGATGCATATCAAAATAAAAGGTACGGTATAGTCCCCTCGCCGTCATAGTACTCTTGTTGACTTGATTCATATTATCGCAGCATGAAATTCCAAGAGTTCTACGCCAGAGCGACGGATATCTTGTCGAATGCTCCAGAGTTGAAATTTAGTCAATATTTTTTGAATATCTTTGCCAAACTGAACGAAAGTTGGCCACCGAGAGAGTGAGCCTTCGCCTCGGGCTGTGCCATACAATGAAGACAGAACGCTCGATCAAATTCTTGGAAGTTTAGAGGAAGACGCTGCCTTGTTGATGAAGCTAGCACCCCCGCTCCAAAAGGCCATGCAAGAAACTCGCAAACCTTCAAGAGGGATGACACAAGATCAATTCTATGAATCGGAGTAGGTTTGCTCTTCTTCATCTTCCGCATGTTGCTGATGCGTATGTTGACACTTATCTGACAATCTTCCAGGGCCTCTGATAATGAAATAGATGCAGAGGCTCTCCCGAAGATACATGAAGCGATGCGCAGAATGAATGAAGTAATATCTGCACACTATGGAATAAATAAAGATATAAGCGGTTAAGATTCAGCGGGAATTCAAATATGGCGATTAGGTTTCACTCCGACAAGGATCGATGGGAATGAGCAGGACCTTTCACTAGCTAACAAGGCGAGGGAAGGACCGGCGGCACTAATGTCGCAGGACAAGTCTGGGAATCCCCAGTGAACTGAAGATTTAATCGACAGAGTTGTTAGTTTCACATAGTTAAATGGAATACCTAGTGCATCTTAGGGGGAAGCAACCAGATGCCCAGTTCTGAAACCATAGTCGAGGCCACCTATATCATACTACAAATTGTTCCTGTGCCGGTTTCGTGAGAACGCAGCAATACTGAACTTGAGTGAAACGCAGCAGAAAAAGGAGTAAGTGCTCGATAAAAAGAGCCGAGCTGCTCTGTCGAGTGTTCTCATCAGGGCATGAAAAGTCATTTAGTGCTTGAGCCTCACGCACTCACCGACGTCATGGCTCCAGCAGGGTGTCTCTCTAACAACATCTCTGCAAAAGCTCAGCATATGGCCGTAAGCCACCCCACTATGAGAATCTGACTTAAACTTGTTACATGCAACAAAGTACCGCTATCTTCTGCCTTGGCTAACCAGACTGACCGCGAACATAGATCAATAAAGATACCCGATCAGCGACTGGGATCTGAAAGGTAATGCACATCAATAAAGACACATGAACAGCGTAGGTTTCATCTACAAGCCCATGAAGCAAAAGTGCCTAGGCTCTTCAACAAAGAAGAACTGTGAGCTTCCTTTTCTATGTAACCTGTTCTCCCTCACTATGGTCTCATGTTCATTAACTCTATTCTATATAACTTCGTCATCTTCTTGCATTGCATAGAGTCACCAAAAGGCCACGATATAATTAAGCTAAGCCGAATCGATCTATCAGTCATGAAAGAAGAGACACAGCAGACATATTCAGAAAAGAACCTCATGCAACGCTTAACGGACGAAACGGCCAGGATCTTACAAGCCATAACCACGACTTTAACCCCCGAGGTCAAGGGCAATAAAGTGCGAGAAAGCGTGCTTGAAAGCCTACAAAAAAGCTTCAACAGGCTTCGAAAATGTAGAGAAGAGTATTTGATCACTGAGGTGGGCTGTCAGTTCTCGAGGCTATCGCAAGAGGCGCGATATAAAAAGCTTGAGATTTTGATTAGGATTGCGACGACGATTAATTCTAGTAAGTGAGCAGAGCACCTATGGAAACTTGAAGATTTTCCCTCGAAATTGAATGGAGGTTCTGAGGTTGATCATCTGACATTGCGCTTAGGACTGCTAGTAGCTCCAAGTATTTGGCATATTACTTGGACTCCACCAGATACCGAGAAACTGCTTCAGCTCATCGAGGAGACAAAGGCCGAATGCAAAAGCAGCCCGCCTTCTTCAGCTTACTCTTCTTGGAAGGGCAAGAACGATATCGATCAAATCACGATCGCCTTGATAGTAGACACCATGTCTTTGTTGCAAGTCTCGTCCGGTCATGACTGTTATCCCTTCAACCTCGAAACGGAACACAATCTCTTGATGATGCTAACGAAGGGTATGCAAGACTGGGACAAGTATGTGTGAATTTATGTGCCATCTGAACTACTGCTTCTGTGTATCTTTTCACTCGACTGATACTTCGATAGGATCTCAAGGGAAGGTTTCGATCGACTCGGAAGTGATTCGTACAGCAAGTCAGAAAGACTGCGGGTGGCGTGGTATGAGTCTCGCCTTCTCCGCCCAGCAGAACCTGGAAACCTGTTTGGGGAAGATGTTCTGCTGCTTGGGTACATACTGTATAGGACTTCCGGAGACAATCGTTTCAATGTTTGACCTAGCCAGAAGAGACATGGCCAAGGTATTCCAGCCCAAGCCTGGGACTTGACACTCAGTGAACATGCAAGCTAGATTATTAAGTCAATATTCAATACAATCAAGATTGGCAACTCACTCACTCCATTTCACTAACAACCAATAAGAAGCCGAATTTCTCTGTTCATTCTAAGGCATATTACACCTCTGCACCTCAAAGTTTTCTGAATGAGTCGTAGGAATAGGCGGCAAGTCCAACTTAGAAGACAACGCCATTAACGTAGCATCTTGCAGTCATCAAAGTCAGACTACTCCATTGCTTCTTCTCATCAGCCCAAGAAAGAGCCGCCCACTATGTAATTGAGCCTCTTCCATGCCCTCACTGACGTCGTGACGCTAGCGGAGTATCTCCCCACGACACCTCCAAAGCTCACAATCTAATGGTAAGTCATGTTGCGATCGGAACTTGGATCCAGTTCGTTTGTGTATAGGAACGCATCAATGCATGTGTTTACCGTTGGGGCTGGTAAAGATGGCCATGGCAATTGACGTACTAAGGTCAATAAAGAAACATGCACAGTGTTACTTTGATCTGAAGACCCAGGGGCCATAGGTATGCAGATGCCTAACAAAGAAGAGCGGATATTGAACCTCCATATGTTCATATAACCTGTCGTAGCTCGCCGCTCCGATGTTCATCAGCTCTTTCTCATCTTCATCACCTACCCTACTTGCCTTATTCAAGATGGAGCCGTCAAACAGCGGTAATCAAGTTGACCGACACAACAACGTGAATTCATACTTGGCAGAGGCAGCCCAGAAGCTGTCTATCAACGCAGGGGATTTTTTGTACGGCTTTACATCTGCAACGACCTTGGTCTCGGAAGTCGCCATCGAGAACATGGCAAAATATCTCAAGGAAGGCACAGAGTTGAAGCCGGAGTTTGACAGCCTGAAGAGGAGCCTCGACAGACTTCAGAAATATGAGAAACGGTATGACGATCCCACTGAGAGCCCCAACAACAGCTCCGACATGCATCCGGAGCCGATGAGTTCATGGCAAGAGGAAAATTATAATGTTTTACGAAGAATCTCCGTGACTCTACTGTCGAGCAAGTAATCACAAGTTCAGAACGTCGACGGACCATGGGACGATTCCCCCTATTACTTGATAGGAGTTAATCATCTCGCCCCTTCAATAGGGCTCTTGGCTCCGTGGACTTGGACAGAGACATCACTTTACGAGCTCCAACGACTTCCTGGATATATCGAGACAGCATTAGAAGAAAGGGGAAGCGATGCTTCAGATACTACTACAGCCTTGCGTCAACTTCTCCAAGACGCCCCTTCCGCGGACCCCTCTGTGAACGGCAGTGACCAGATTAGCGACATTACGTTAGCCTTAGCAGCAGATACAATATCTATGATGCAGTTGCAAGACGCAAAATATTCCAACCCCAAAGCCGAAAAGAGGTTCTTATCGAACCACGGAAAACTGTATGAAAGCATTACGCCCATGAGGTAAGTTTGTATTTCTGCGTCACCTGGCCAACACTGCCCTTTATGCTTTTAGTTGGCTAAAAATCTTTCTTACAGTCCCGCGCAGCGAAGGCTGTTGACGTCTGAATTATCAAGCGACGTGGAAGCGTCAAAGAAATTGTCCGATGCGTGGAAGGAGGCTGCCCTGCACCCCGGCAATTGCGTTGGTACGCTGTCCATAGTTGAAAAATCCAAGTCGAAGGCATCCTACCTCGAAAAATTGTTGCTGATGGCTCCGGGTCCAAGAACAGGACTGTGAACTTGACATAATCTTCTACTCGCGCCTCTTCCACGCCCTCACCCACGTCATGACGACGGCGGGGTATCTCCGGACGACCCCGCCAAATCTCGCACGTCAACAATGAATCTCACTTCCAACTCGTCTCAACACAATTTCAAAGGACGAAATGAATCATTATTTTTCAAGGATAGTATGACCATATATCTCAAATAAACAAGATACCTATAATTTCCATTCTGCTGTGAAGGCTGGCGCAACTGACCATGTGGTTCAATGATGAATCATAGACCAAAAAAAAAAAAAAAAAAACCTAACCTCAAAAACCGTTCACACGACATTCCTCACCTTACTCATAAAACAATCCACCTCATCCACATCCATCAACCCTCCATCTCAATCCATCGCCAACAACAACCTCATGACAATCCGAACCCTCTCAACCCGCCGCGTAACCCAACTAACCCACCACCTCCAACCCTCCCCCAGCTCACCGCGCACCATGTCCTCCTCCTCCCCATCAACCTCAAAAGCCTCCCCAGGCCCAGCGCCCTGGCGCGCCCCCTTTCTCAAAAACGTAACCGACATGGCCTCACCAGAATTTAACCTCGCAACAATCCACTCCTCATCCTCCGGCACCTCTGCCTCATCCAGCTCATCCTCTCTCACACCTCGCCTCCGCACCGTAATCTTCCGCGGCCTCTGGGCCTCCCTCCCAGTCAACCCCAAAAACACAGCAGACCTCAACCCGCCCCTCTACGAATCCGACCTCCTCACCCTAACAACCGACGCCCGCATGGCCAAAGTCCCCGACTTCTTAACCGGCACCGACGGAGGAAAAGCCTCATCCGCAAAATCAGGCGGCGGCGGCCCCGTAGAAGCCTGCTTCTGGACGAACGCAAAAGTCCAATGGCGCATCCGTGGCGAAGCCTACCTCCTCGGGCCGGACATCGACTCCTCCACGGCGCTCCGCTCCCACCTCCTCGCTCGCATGCGCTCCGTCACCCCAGCAGACGCCAAACGCCGCCGCGAAGAGGACATCCCCGAGGGAAAATCCATCATCGGCACCTCGGAAGCAGACTGGTCCTTCTCCCGCGAAATCACCGCGCACTTTGGAAACCTATCGCCCATGATGCGCGGCACGTTCCGGAACCCGGAGCCGGGGACATCCCGCGCCGCGAACCCGCCTACTGACACGCTGAAGCTGGGGCAAAAGGTCGAGGATCTGGAGGACGAGGTGGCGAGGGAGAATTTCCGGGTTGTGGTGATTGTGCCTACCGAGGTGGATCAGACGGACTTGAGCGCCTCGGAGGACCCGAGACGGTATCTTTACCGGTACGTCGGGGCCGAGGCGGAGGGGGAGGCGGAGGGTGGTGCGGAGAGGGTCAATGGGTGGGAGAAGACTGAGTTGTGGCCGTAGAGAGGTTCAGCGAACATGATTGGGATAGACGAGCTGCTCCGCAAGGTAGCTGTACACATTACTGTCTACAGACTTTACGTTCCAACAAAAGGCGTCGCAACCTGTCAAAGAACATCGTCATTCTGAGCCCATCTCACGCGCGCCTTCACATCATGATCGTACAACCCTTTGCGCCTCAAAACGTGGATGATGTGCCAACGAAGCGCTAGCCTCAAGCAGCAGACTGAGTGACTGGACTTCCAAGTCTCCGTACCTACCGAAACCCTCTCAAAACTTGGTCAGACTCGTCAGCCAAAAAGCAGATGGCTGACTATGGAGTGAGGTAGGTACTAGACTACTGGTAGGTACCATGTCGCATGTCGAAAAACCAAAAAGTCAAGCTATCAGGCCGAGCCGTGCCGTGCTTACACCCCCTCTTCGAAAGTCCACCGGTCAATCAGGAAGAAAAAAAAAAGACCGGACACATCATCCACATTGCGACTCGTCGCCCGATGTACTGTGTAGTCCTTGTTCATTTATTGGCGCTGTTGGAACAGGGGTGTGAGAAAGAGAGTCTCTGAACAACTGGTTCCAACACCAAGTCTCCGTACGTAAAGCTGGGCAAGGACTCAAGAGTGGTACTCAGCGGGCCCCAACAACCGGCCCCCTTTTTAGGAAAATGGTACGTCCGATGGGATCTGCATGACTGCGGGGGATGGGAGATGTTCACACACATGTGAGAGGAAGGAGAGAAAGAAAGGTTCCCCATGAAGTCCGAGTTGGCGAATTGGGACCCATGCGGATAGGACCTTGTTATTGTAACATGTTGCAACTTTTCGGGGCCCTTTTGGTCAAAAAGTCGGCCGCCTGCGTATGGAGTGACCATCACTATGCATATCCACGACAGAGCCGCTGCTGGACGCGCGGGCTTGCGTGATCGCGATGCGGCGCGTACGTCCCAAATATGGTAATAAGTTCCCGAATCATGTGTGAAGAAGGACGTCGCGAGGCGGGCATTGCTGCTTGCCGTCCGTGTCGGAAGCTTAGGTTCAATCTTAGTTTTGGTCTTTAGTCTTCGTCAACGCGGCCTACGAATACGGTCGGGTCGGTAGTTAGTATCCACAGTAATTCTGACCCGGTGGGGGGGGGAGAGAAAGGGTAAATTGGGAGAGGAAGAGCAATATCGACAAAGAATCATCTCGAAGACGGCCGCTCATGGATAGCCCTGCCACGAACCACATGGCACTTTCGATCAGGACGGCCAAGCTCGTACTCCAACTTTTTTGCAAGTCAGCCGATCCCAGGCAAGCTTCAGAAAATGGAGGGGGCTCATCTTGAGCAACTTGTCGGGGTTGAAACGAGATGAAGAACGCTCGTCGACCACGTCTCGTCATCGCTCACTCACCAGGCTTGTCCCGTTGCTCGTTGCTACGTAACGAAATCAAACGGGGTTTGCGTCCCGAATAGGGTGATCGCACCGATGAGCGGATGAACATCCCCAGTCGAAGCTCTGAGTGGGCAGGACGCTAGCAGACGATAACCACCAACCCCTCGAGAGCAAGAAAAAAAAATCAAAATCGTAAAGCCACAACTTCCAAGCCTGTCCCCGTTGCTAGTCAGTCAATTCCACATGGCAGCCATGATAGCTCTAAACCACAAAGGAGAACGCTCCCCACTCCGGATCTAGCAGCGCTGCTTCCGCGAACACTTGGCGGGCGGGCGGCCATCATTTTGCGCGTAGCGTGATTACAGGGAGAAAGAAGTTGAATAGGAGGTTAGGCGAAGGCAAAGGGCAGCAGGGGCAAGTCTGGCCTTGCAAGTTGCGCACTCCGCACTCCGTAGGCATCTTTCACTCTCTTGCTCTTTCTCACTGTCCAGCGGCCTGCTTTCTTCTTATTCCGGCGGGTCTGCTAGGCCACGAGACACGAGACTCAAGGAAGGGCAGCAGATA